CAGAGCCAGGATCAAACCTGCAACCTTCCGATTACTGGACAATGCGCTCTACCTCCTGAGCTATTGCTGTCCCTACTTACAGGTCCAGTAGCAACAAAGCCAGGTCATCATCAGTTCGGGATTTTGTTGCCTCCTTTAGCTCCCTCAAACTAGTGTAGGCTGCGCCGATGTTCACTACGGTTTTAGCTCTTTGCTCCACCTCCAATGACATTACTCTCTTACTTGTACTTCCAAGCTCCACCTGTGTTTCTCCTACATAGGCTCAGGCATGGCACTTTTTTTTAATTGGCCATCACCTTTGAGGCAGCCTGGTAGTTGGCTTAGCAACTAGACATTACATTTTAAAAATGCTAACTCCCTAACCAAAGCAATGGTTTTAAGATCACGAGAGCAACATTTCCCAACAAGAGCAAGCAGCAGGACATCTGACAGAGATCAGTCACGTTCTTCTTTAATGTGTTTGACTGATTAATTGGGATAAACCAACTCAAGGGATTCTAGTTATTTAACAGTTAATTAGACACATTTCCTGCGATGGACTGGTTCTCTGTCCAGGGTGTACCCCGACTGATTGACCGCTGGAGCCCCCCCACCCCCCGCCCTGCGACCCTACGTGGACAAAGCGGGTTCAGACAATGGATGGATGGATAGACATATTTCCCATTAACTTCTGAATCAATGGCTCTTGCTCGTATAAAAGGCTAAATAACCGGAGGAAAAAGAACAACTGTAACCTCTGATGGGAAGAAAAAGTATCTTCTACTAGGTGGTGTTTTTTTGCAGTAAAATACCATTTAAACATTCGCTTTGGACAAAAGCGTCTGCTAAATACATATACATAAACATTCAAAAATGAAATTATTATGGTATATTGTGTATTTTGTACCTTTTCTCTGTGGTTTTTGTTGTAACTGAGTTAAGATGCCACTGGCCAGTCTGCACTCGCTGTCACACACTCTGTTTGTGAGAGCAAAGTGATCAGAGTGATTGCGACTTCCACCATGATAAAACTGGGTCAATGTAACCCCCACCCCCTTCACCACAGGCAAGGCTGATAAAGGGAAAAAAAACAAAAGCGATGAGGATACCGTCTCCAGACTGTGCGTGGATGTAGACATGGGGATGCTGGAGCGTGGTTGGCTTTCTTCATGGGTCGGTAACACTGTTGGTTCTAAAGGAGTCTGTTTTTGACATGTTCCTTCTACCCCTGCTAGTCTGTGGGTCACCGTGTCGTGTTATTATCTGTCCCCTCTGTATTTTATCTTTGCTCCTCTTTTGTTTCTGTCAGCCGATGTTGTCACCACTCCCTGAGAGAACCTTTAGTTTCTAGGATGTAAGGTTAAAATGAAAATCCACCCCAAAGGATACAGCTTATGTGAAGACGCTCCATATCTTTTCTTCAATTTTGGCATCTTCTGTACGAGGTCTGAAAATGTCAGGATGCTGTCTACCACACTAGTTAAAACAATCAAGAGTCACACTCTTCAGCATGTTATTGTAATATTGACATTATAATTGGATGTGTTAGCGGGGTGTGTTATCCTGCTAAAAGAGACCACTGCCGTCTTCTTGTTAGTGGAATGTTCACATGAATTGTGGAGTCCTAGTTTTCCCAGAAATATGTGACCCGAGCATCACACAACACATTGAATTAACAGTATTTTTCTGGCTATTTGAGTTGCCATGTCATGGTGGCCTGGCAAGCCACTCTATATATATGATCAGTCTGGCCACGGTCCACTGACGGGTCTCAGTCGTGGGGCTGAATCTATGGTTGTCTTTCAAACTGTCTCTGCATACTATTGGACGACAAACAATGTGACATACGGATGTTAGTCAATGAGGCAGTCCACCATATTCCATCAAAGAAGATGCAAAAACATCCTTTTTCTAATTAAACTTAAGTACCTCTTAGCTGACTCAAAGAAAAGCCCAATTCAAAATAGTCCAAAGTTGATGCAAAGCCATTTCAAATTAGGTGTCGCCATCTTTGTTTTTTCAGTAACATCCCACCCACCCACAGAGTGCTGTGATTGGCCCATCAAACCAATAGAGCACTGTGATTGGCCCATCAAACCAATAGAGTGCTTTGACTGGGCCGTTATGATGTCAGTCAACATGGCAGTCCGCCATTACATTGTGGAAGAACTACATAAAAAATTAAACAATACATTGTTTTTCTAAATAAACCCCCTATAATTGGCCAGCCACAATGCTTGCCAGGGCTGCAAAGGTTTCAATGGAGCGTGGCTAGACCAACATGCAAAGCAAAATAATTTTGCTTAGGGAAATGCGTAGAGTCTTCTAGGCTAACGCCATGGTTCTTGAATGGCAAAAAGTGGAATGCTCACATCAGGCTGGGGATTAATTGATGGTATCCTGGCAGAACGGAACAAGAGATGAACTTATGGAAAAGAATGAGAGCTTTCATTGTCTATTATTGTGAAGGATGAGCTGAGCTGCAAGGAGTTCCAACACTCACCGTTTAGTCATGAGGTCTGGACAAAAAGAAGAAGAGATTGAAAAGAGCCAGGTGATGTGATTCTGGCACATTCCACTGGGAGGAGAAACCAGGGAAGTCCCAGAACTCACTTGGAGGGATTATATGTCCTGTCTGGCCAGGATATTGCTAGGAATCCCTCTGGACGAGCTGGTGTTGATGAGTGTAGCTGTGGGAAAGGAATAATAGGGGTTCCCTCTTGGATCTGTTACATGACCAGATCTCAGATCTATTGTTGCTTTTTTACTAGATCAGAATAAACAGTTCAGTCAGTTCTAAGCATGAATCAGTGACTCTATGTTAGCTCACTGGTTTCCTTTCATGGACTGTGTTTGTTGACTTCTGCAGAGCAGGGACATCCCACCAATGCTACTGCTGGTTCAGCCATCCTCATTTGGCCCATTCTCTGAGCTCTCTCTGCTGTGTTCACTTATCACTAAATATAACTCACCCATTAGGAACTAGGGAGTTCATCACGTCATTTGTCACAATGCTATCAGATCCATATTAAGGAGTCTCATTAAAAAGGCACCCAGGGTTTAATTTAAGAAAAATAACATTGGAAATGATGGAAAATAAAACTAAATTGTTAGTAAATGTTCCCAGTCTATTGCCCCATTAATTGTTCAGTTCAGCAAACATTCTAGCGTAGCGTAACTACTCCATCAATGTTCTGTGGCTTTTCAGCCACAGCTAGGCTGATTTTAGCTAAGTTCTGCTTTTAGCTGACTGCTAGTGCCATCCAGAGCCATGCTACCAGGAAATGAAGGCACTCATCAACCAACGATCACAGACGGCTTGTATGTAACAATGTGTGTATCAGGGGTGGATTTTCATCTTAATGACAGTAATATTTCATCCTAACGTTTTACAGCAGCCCTTTAATGACTCTACTGCAGGACTATAAAAATGAACTCATGCAGTAGACACAGCTCCTTGTTAGCTGTGACATTCATCATGAGGTTAATTTAATAACACGTCCATAGTTTGTGTTTTTTTAAAGGCTTACATGTGTGATACATGCAGATAACCTTGCGGTGTGATGATGTGGACATCTTCTCTAAGTGTGTGTGTTTGCTGTTTATACCATGGCCTTGATAAAATGCTTGTTTCTAATTGAAGTTTCCTTCTTAGATTTGACTCATAGGCAGGATAAACCGTTCAAATAGATTGGGGCAGGAAGTGTGTCATCTGAGATAATGACATCACTCAGAGCTTTAGAGATGACCAAGAAGATGAATCCCCATCAGCTGTTGAGTCACTATGTTGTTTTTCTGTGACGATGCAGTGAAAACTAAGCAATGCTAATAAATTACGGAGCTGACACAAGACTCCTGAATGTAGCTTGTTAAAAAAGAAGGATGAACGGCGTTTGCAGCTCATCTGATGCAGTTTTCAGGGAAGGTGACATTAAAAAGTGATATCTCAGATCCGTTTGAGTGGGTATCTGTGGGTTTTATCTGTTACACATTTACAGATTTTATTACAGATTTGAATCACCTCACCTTGGAGAAACAGATTAGATCTGATTGGATGGGCAGGCTAATAGCTAGTCATGGTGGGGCCAGTTGCTAAGTGGGTTTCTCACTTATTAAAGTAGAAATCGAGAGTTTTTTCTCTCAGAGGACACTATCTAAAGGTGGTAAAATGTATTGCACCTTAAAGCTACAATCTGGATTTTCTCACGGACAATTACTTGTCTAGACAATATGGACAATAACAGGTGTCTAGGTGTTGGTGCTCATTTCTGCTGCATGAGTAAAGAATTTCACATGAACAAGTTGCTACATGATGCTAATCTGTTCGCTGCTAGCTTATCAGGCAGTTAGCATCTGGTTTCTGTTTCTCCAAACTGAGGCTTTTCAAACATCAATATATACAAAAGGTAACATTAATTTTTACCACCTTTCCACAGAAGCACAAAAAAGTGAAATTTGCTTCAGGATTAACTTGGATCGAGTGTTCAAGAGTTAGTTTCAGATATTAGTATTGAAAGATTTAATTTTACTGTAAATACAGAATATCATTCACTGTGTGGCCATGGTGTAAGCAGGCAGAGCCTCTGAGGGGCATGTTTAAATGGATACATAAATCCATTACAGTCAAACATGCACTCATTCCTGGGTTTCTCCTTCTGTTGCTGTAAGTATGAAGGAGAAATATGAAGTTCATAGAAAGTGTAAAAAGCTGGGATGGAGGGTTTGTTGTTTTGTAATACCACAGTTTAAATAAAATACGAGCAGAAAACTTGATCCATTTATTGTGAATATGTCATGAGCTTTACAAATGACCTATTTGTTTAAAAGTAAGTGAATTGGTCCAAACAATGCAAATTAAAAACAAATATATTCACAATCATATCAGTTTGATGCAAAATTGTCATCACAACCTTGAGCATGCTTTGCATGCAGATTTATGGCATGTTAAGCACTTCATAATTACAGGTCTTGTGGTAAATCTCCTCACTGACATGTTTCTGTCTCTCTTCTTTGTCAAACAGCTTTGCATAAACCCAGATGCCTCCCCTCCCTCTTGACGAGCGTATAGTTGTAATTCAGCGCCCTAAAAATCTAACCCTATGTGATGCGTCCCCACAAACTGTCCCACAGCACTCCTCCCAAATAACATCCTCCTCCAATGGACGAGTGTGTCACCCTCCTCACCTCCATGCTTCTTCCCAGCCTCATTTTTATTCACCCTCAAGTAAAGATCTGAGTGTGGAATGCAAGCGCAGGTTGTCCCGCGCGCAGCATTTCAAGGCCAAGCAGCCAGTCCCTTCAGCAGTTGTCAGACACGTCCCCAGCCACTGTCACAGCAATGGAACTGTAACTCTCGGCCCACGCCTGCCCTCCCACACGCATACAATTGACATCAAGGTAACTGTGGACAAAGGGGCGCGGGGAGGATCAAGCAACTCATTAGGGCATAATGGAAGCGTGAAAGGTGGCAGAGGAAAATGTGTCTTCTCCCAGCAGGAGCAAGGTCAGTTTGAGAGAAAGACTGGCTGTGCAGGGAGGCCGGGTGGAGCTGAGCACAAACCGCAGCGAGTTCGTCAGCTGTCGTCTTCCCCTGGAGGGGTTCTGCAATTTGTCCCTGGTCAGGCGCAACAGGATTCATTCAGATGTGAAAAGGAGAGGGAACACTCTGGTTTTTGTAACAAATGTGACCAGGATTTTTCCTCGTTGAGTCAGAGGAAGAATTCCAAACTGGGAACTGTACATCAGAGCCATAATAGCAACAGTCTGCCCTACCATCGCCACTCTGTTCCCGTGCCCCACGCTGCCATCCTAAACTCTACCTACCCGTCACCCCCTCCTTCCCAACCAGCACATGTTCCAGTGTTGTTCCAGCAGCTTAGCCAGCCTCACCCGCCTCGCACCAGGGATCACCTCCCCCATATCCTTCATGGTCTTCCCTTCTCCCCTTGTTCCTCTCAGGCTGGAGGGTTTCCTAGCCCCGACCATACCTGCACCATTGACTGTACACACCCTTTCAGCTGTGGCTGCTGGAGGTTGGTAAGATGCAGGGGTTGTAAACGGGATAGTTCTAGCTTCCAAGGAGGAGGAGGAAGCCCTTCCACCTCGTTTTCCTGTGGTCACAATGTTGGAGCAGTGAAGAAGGGAAGTAAAGATATGGGCCTGAAAAACCTGGGGGGCTGTCTCTCCACCGCCTCCACCTCCAACACCTCCTCATCTAACAGCACTGCTTCCGACTGTCGAGCAAACCTGCTCAAACCTCTCCGCTGTGCCTCCTGCTCTGGTGAGGCCAGAAACTTCGAGAGTCCTGCTATCCTTCGCAAAAAACTAGTTGGAGGATGTCTTCCCTGCACTCCTTTGTCCTCTTCTGGACCTCTGAGGGCGATACAGAGCTGTGTCACAGGTTGCAACCCCAAAGCATCTCAGACGGGCAGTTCCAGCTGCAGCTACTGCAGCAGCGACCCCATAGTGGTGACGTACAACCCTCGCCGAGGGAAACCCCTTGCAAGAAGCGTCGGAGCAGCTCACCCAGTGGCTATGTTCCAGGGGGATGACGATGATTACAGCATGCCAACTATATGGCCCGAGGAGCTGGCCAAGAAGATCACCCACTCTAGAGCCCAAAAGAACAACTGTGCTGGAATGGGGGTAGGAGTTGGGAAAACTTGTGCAGGTCAGGCTCAGAATGGCAGCAATGGAACCAGCTTTGCTCTTTTGGACTGTCAAAAACTTCAGGAATATGCACAGACACATCTTAAAGATCAAGCCGGCCGACGACGACTTCAGCAGGGCAAACTGGCAGCCCTTGATTTTGTGGGTAGTAGGCTGGGATCTGGGTACGAAGACGGCCGTAGCTCACTGAAAAGGCTTCTAAACAAAGAAGATGCAGGAATGAGTGATGGTCCAGAGCAAGATGAAGACGGAGCATATCCTCAATCCCCCTCTCCTCGCACAGTGTCTCCTCCATCTCCTGTCTCTTTTTCCCCTCCACCTTCTGCCCCTAGCACGCTCATCAAACCTAAACCATGGCAGAGAGATAGGGAGGGGGGACACTCCCTACCGTCAGCTCAGTCGCTTCACCTGGCCCTGAGCTCCCTTAACAGCGAGCAGAATGAAGAGAACAACCGAAGTAAGAGTTCACCACAATTCACTATTGCAATGAATTACATTCAGTTGATTTTTAATTGCTTACAATTAGTGAGAATTACACACTTCCCAGAAGACTGATTGCAAAGAGTATGAAAAAGTTTTCAGGATTAATTTAAAATTGGAAGAGACTTCAGTTACGACACAATATAATTTAAGTTCCTTATGAACCTCAAATTCAAACATTTGTGTACTGTTTCCTGTCTTCCTCCAGTGCGTCTGTCTTTGCCGCTGTCGTCCTCGTTGCCAGCTTCTCTTTCCGATGAAACTGTGATGACTCCTGATGCAGAGAATGCTGTCATCAGTCCGATCCTGCCCTTTCTGTTTTTGGGGAATGAGAGAGACGCCCAGGACCTGGACCTGCTGCTGCGTCTCAACATTGGCTTTGTGGTGAACGTGACCACACACCTGCCCCTGTACCATGTCAGCGTTGGACTGCACTACAAACGGCTCCCGGCCACAGACAACAGCAAGCAAAACCTCAGACAGTACTTTGAGGAGGTCTTTGAGTTCATTGGTGAGGACCTCGTGTGTGCAAGCATACTGACTCTGTTGTTGAATTACTGCCTTGCCAAGAAAATGCATGACCTTTGACCTTTACCTGAACCATGTGTGGCCTGCAGTGCTTTATTTGTTGCTCTTGGCTATTTTCTTGAATTTCTTTAGACCGGAGCACAAAATGTTGCTTTTTGAGATCTTTTAGCATCATTTGTGTTGTGAGACAAGTTCTCTTGAAATTGCTCAGGTTGCACAACATGCCTGATTTAAAGCTGGGATCAGTAGCGTGACATCATTAAGAAGAGGTGGAAGAGATTTTGAAATGCTTCCCCTCTTCTGGAAGGAGCTGAAAGCCACACATCATTTTGCACACACACACAAACAGCTTTGTTGCACTAACAGACAAGTAATGCTTTCGATATTTTCCTGCTCAGACGCACCTGCCTTTAACAGCTGAATTATCTGCATGGTCTTCGTTGGGTTCTGCAGGAGCTGCTGTTCATTTTAATCAAATCTACAAGCAGAGGAACATCTAAAACTTCAGCACTCATGATCTTTGCTAACGCTAAACAGGCTAAAACAACAGTCCATTGTAGCATAAAGTTGAATGCTATGCTAATCACTTAGCTCCAACACACAAAAGATAAATACTTTGTCGTTCCTCGCCCTCCTCTTCCATAGTAAGCTCAGTGTTTGTGAAAACCTTTTAGCCACGCCTGCCAAACTTTCAGACGTGAGTATCTCATGCAGGACATTTTTAAACCACGCAGGACAATGTCCTTGTGGACGTCAGATTTGTAACAGTTTAAAATTGCATTTTGTAGTGACCTCTGACCTTTACATATTGTACAAAATTTTTATTGTGACAATAATCTGTTAAAATATTTTGAAAAATAACCATCAATGTGATTCTCTGCTTAAATAATGAACCAACAGAAATTTTCTGAAAATTATTAGATTTTATTAGGAATCATTATGAAACACCAGAATACACATGAAAATATTTCTAAATGATGTAATGGTTCATACGGGTTATTGTGAGCGGTGGCTGATAACTGAAAGTTTGAGATGCGGGTTTATCTCAGCTGTTTGTCAAACTACTCTAATAAATCACTGTAAAGGACAAAATGTCATTCCATCTGGGGATTTAGTTTAGCACATTTATCGCAATAATAAGAAAGGATCTTAACTTACCTGTGTTTGTAATACGGCCGCTTACATCTTCCGGTGCGCTGTGGACAAATCCTGCAGGCTGCTGCTTCAGAGACCAAAGACGATCTGTGATAGATTATTGAAAAAAATGTCTGTGTCACGGAATCAGCAAATTATCAACAAACTTTCTGCAATTTGTGGTTTTCAGGAAGTTAAGAGAAGAGTTACGTCCTGGGACGTAATTTTGGGGGGGGACGGGTGGGACATGTCCCCCCCACTTTTTCAAAAGGCAGTTTCGGTCCCCTGCACTTTTTTCCGTCCAAAAACAATGTTACGCTCCATTAAATGGATTTGGTTGAGCACTAGGACCGAAACGGAAACCGGTTTACTATTAGACCCGCCCAAAAGCTAATCTATTGGCTCTGCTGATACTTGCTAACGTATTATTGGCTGTTGCTGCTGTCACTCAAGTTGTAAACAGTCAGAACGTGCTCACGTTGTTTTGCTAGTTTGGAGCCGCTAGGGAACACCGGTACTGAGTCACATCGTCAACTAGACGCTGTGTAATATCAGAGCTCAGCTCAGCTTCCATTACATAACATTTGAATAAGTGTTCATTTGTGAGTCTTTGGTAGTTAGGCACAGCCAGGAGGCAGCATGTCAAGAAAACGAAAAGTGGATATAAGAGACTTCTTTCAAAGTCAAAACGTAAGTTGGAACATGTGACAGACCTGCATTAAGCTCAGACGCACCTCCTCCTTCACACACATACTCAAAACTAACTTTTACAAACTCATCTCCTCCACATAACTGACTCCTCAGACACAATTTATTCGTATTAATATAATAATTTTTTTATTATTACTATTATCATCATAATTATTATTACTAGTAGTAGTAGAAGTGTAACTTCAAAACTTTTATCATTTAACTTTATTGTAAACTTATCTATTGCAATGTATATGTTCACATTAAAAAGCTCTGAAAAATGAACAGTATCATCATCGTCAACAGATTTTTTTAAGCTTAATGTCAAAGATGTACACTTTTCATTAGATTTATCTTATTTTTTCCATTTATTTTTTGTGTGTTGAAATGCAACAACTGTTTAAACACTTTTAAGGGAAAAACATATTTAATATGTTTTTATACACTCAAATGTTAGGGTGATGATCATGTGTAAAACATTAGTTCAGCATGTCCTCTAACACAGCAAATGAACAAACGGCCAGATCTCAGGAGGGACCGTTTATGTATAAATAATTTTTATACTTTTGACTAGGCCTGGGAAAGTAACAAATTTTGCTGGACGATATTTTGTCCAACAAATTGTTGATGATAAACGATATTGTCAACATTATCTAGACCAAAATAACCACTAATATAATGTTAATATATCATAATAATGCAAGTACACCCTTTAAAATGCAACAAATAAACCTTCATTTAACATTGAAATGTCCAGAACCAGAACTTCTAAATGAATAAAAATAACAAACAAAAATTGAATAAAAAAGGAATCTCACTCCCTGTTAGAAAATGTTGCACCAAAAACAATAAAAAAAGACCCAAAACAATAAATACAATGGCCTATCCATTGTCAACAGCCAAAACTGCACTTCAATAATGATAATAAATAAAAATAATAATAGAGTTGTACATTTTTTAACTTTGATATATATATATATATATATATATATATAGAGAGAGAGAGAGAGAGAGAGAGAGAGAGAGAGAGAGAGAGAGAGAGAGAGAGAGAGAGAGAGAGAGAGAGAGAGAGAGGATGGAAAAATTATTGAGATGGGCACGTGACGTGTCAAGGGGTCTTTACATAACACCCCCCACCCCAAATCCGCACAAGCCTGCTGTGTCCCCCCCACTTCTGAAATCAAAATTTCGTCCCTGGTTACGTCTGTCTTAATGTCTGACGATTTAAAGTTAAAACACGTCGGTAATGACCGACTGTCCGGCGTGTTTTCGCAAACACTGTTAGCTTAAAGTTTACAGACTGACAATAGTTCAATTCAATTTGAGTTAGCATTCAAGCTAGGTTGGTGTGCTAAGATGACCGAGGCACGTAGTGCATGCTGGGAACTGGGGTGCATTCTCATTAAGTGGCAGCTCCCTCTTGTGGATACACAACTCTGTTGGTTGATGCACTTGGCTTGTGTAAATCATTCATATTGCTGCAGAGGCTAGGGAAGGGACTCAGGGGAAATAAGAATTATGAAAGATTACCTACTTTATATCATAGAACAGGGTCAGATAGGCAAATTTAAGCATTTTTATATTACCTAATTTTTCTAAACACGTTCCCCAGCTTCAATCCCAAGTAAATAAAAAGGGTAACATCTCAAGATGAATCTGAGCTAATCGATTGGTTCTGTCATCCACAGAAGAGGCATATCAGAGTGGAAAGGGTGTGTTGGTACACTGCCAGGCAGGCGTGTCCCGCTCTGCAACCATCGTCATCGCCTACCTTATGAAGCACACCCTCATGACGATGACCGATGCCTACAAATATGTGCGGAGCCGTCGTCCAGTGGTGTCGCCTAATCTGAACTTCATGGGCCAGCTGTTGGAGTTTGAGAGGGACCTCAACTCCGGGGTGACTCCTCGGATCCTGATGCCTAAACTTATTGGTGTGGAGACACAGGTGTGAAAAAGGTCAAGGGGCACGAGTGCGTCAGCTGGAAGGAATAAACCTGACGATAAAATAAACTAGTGCCGCACATTAGAGAAAAAATACACAAGGTATGCCTGAAAAATCTTGGTGTGTTTAACAATTAGTGCACTTTCAATACTGTGAAACATGAGATGGGAAACTGGATGATTCCTTTGTTAACTTGATTTTCATGCAGGATTCTGTTTATGAGATAATGTGCCAATATTTTGTGTAGCTCTAACATCACTCAGATATCTTTTCTTTCATTTTTGATGCCTCCTCCTTTATGTTCCCGATGTTTACGTCCAGAGCCGCTCAGAAACAGCGACTCTGTTACTGTAAGTCATAACTGCATGCAGAGCGGAAATATAAATATGAAAAAGTTTACTTTTGTTCATTTTTATCAACTAAAACGCTCATGTTTCCACTCGTAGCAGCACACATACAATGCACTTTACCTATCGTGCATTTTGTAAATTTTTATTTATCAGCCAATGAGTTATCACAATGACTAGCTGAGACCTCAGTAACTGCTTTTCAATGTGTTTCTTTGTCTTTTTTTTCCCCAATTCAGAACTGTTCAATTAGTGTGGAAGGACCTATTGAGAAAACGTATCACAAAGAGGAAAATGGAACTGTCTGTAGCAGCAGATTACTGATCTGAGTGCAATCTATACAATGAAATGAGTTCACTGTGAGGATCTTTATTATGGAGCTGAAATCATCAACCCTTTTTATGTACATACTTTGATTTGACATTTGACCAGAGGTTTGGGCTGGAAACACCATCCTGTGAGTATTATAAGGATCTTTTTTTAAAGTAACACAGAGCAGTTTCCTGTTCCTTAGCCCGACTGGTTCAAAGTAGAAAGCCGTGAACAACCCTTCTGCAGTCTGCTGTAGCTACCGCTAACACTAACATGAACCAAATACTGTAATAAACCACAAAGTAAAAAGCGTCATACTGTTGGGAGTCCAGTAGCAACAAAGCCAGGTCGCCATCAGTCCATAATTTTGTAGCCTCCTTTAGCTCCCTCAAACTAGCGTAGGCTGCGCCAACGTTCACTCTGGTTTTAGCTCTTTGCTTCACCTCTGAAGCCATTTGTCTCTTACTTTTACATCCAGGCCCCGCCATGATGCCAACAGAAAAAGCAAACTTCTTTTTTTTCTTCGTCCTGAGCTTTGTATTGACACTTGGTGAACTGAAAATGCTAACCACTAGCAGTTTACAGCTCAACAGGTGAAGAGTGCCCCCCAGGACACCTACCTGCTCCACAAAGCTATCAAGTGCAGTTTTTGGTCAGCAGAGGGCTGCAGATTGTTGTCAAATAGGAAACTGGTCAAGTTTCTAACTCAGTAATCACTGAGATCAATGTTAAAGCTCTAGCTTAAACTATATAGTGTTACTTTAAAGAGTAAGTCACCCCCTACCAGTCTTACTCAACTCCCACTTCCTGTTTGAAAAATGCAACAAATGCTGTTGCCTGACAGACTGAGAGGGCGGAGCCACTAACAAATACACACACACAGGCTCACTACAACATTGTGACATAATAATGTCCCACCTGTTATAGTGTACCTCTTAGCCAATAGCAATTGCAGATTTAAATTCAAATGTACTGCAGAGTTTTTACCAGAAGACTACACAACAATGACAGTTTTAGGCAGAATATTTCAAATTTAACTGAGGTGCACTAAAGTGCCAAATTATTTACTACATGTGTCTACAGCATGATTAGACACTCATTTATATAGTTTATCAGCAAAAAAAGTTGATTTGGTGACTTGCTCTTTGACTGTGCACATGGTAAATATATTTTCATTTTTTTCACTTAGTAAAAAACCTACAATGGGTTGATGTTTTTTAGCTAAAAACCAACTTTTACACGGTCTAATGCTGTATTAATCTAACTTCACGAAGCACATAGTGATTTATTTATCCAAAGAGAATTTATGTGCAGAAACTCTGAAAGGCAAGAAAAGAGGCTGTCCAAATCTAAATCTGACTTTTTCCGTTTGCTCTATGACTTTTTTTCCAGACAGAGACAAAAGCTTTTTTTTTTTTTCATTTCTAAAATTAGTAAAGAACTAAAAGAAAATCCTGACCCCTAAAATACAAACATGAAATGAAGAAGCGTTCATTTATATTTCCTTTCAGGACCTTCATATTTAACTTTGTTCTGTTCTTTTTAACTCTGTGAAGTTTTGTAGCATTTAACGTTTTTGTCCGACTAAAAGCAGACTAGTGATATTTAAAAAAATAAAAAATATATTTTCACGATGGGCTCAAAAGAAATCACATCATTTCCACAGACTAAACTCATGAAGAAGGGTTCGGTGGAAATGTGAATGGCCTCAGCTTAGAGTAACAAAGAATATTTCAGATTTAAAAGTTAAGATATTATTTTTACCCTTTTCACAGAAACACACTCCAAGGGATCTAAACTATCCTCGAAAGTCAGATTAATATTACTCCCATTTAATTGCCTTAGCTCATTCCAGCCTGCCTAACCATTTCTCTCATGACTATGCATTTATACGGTGTTTTTTGGTTTATTTAGATACTTTTTTTATTCACTGTGATCTATTTCTCTGCATCCCTGAATTATCTTTAGATATATGAGCCACTAAACAGGATGAACACAACACAAACGTGATGAACTCAGCCTTTAATGGCCATCAGTCTAAAAGAATTACATCCCAGTTTATTACAGCCCGTGTTTATGCTTCTGATAGTATATTTTTAATGCACACAGGCATAGGTTTAACCAGCTTGTTTAACAATTATATGAAAGAAAGATAAATCAACTATTCAGGAGCTAAAAGGAGATTTTATTTCAATTAATCATGTTAATGATAATCTGTGGAGGTTAGGAGTTTACACAACAAATTATTATGATTTTATTCCATTTAACATTTAATCTAGGGTTTTTATTTTGCCCTTGTGTCTGAAAAACCTGTGATTTACAAAATGCCTGGCTGCAGTTTGTGAAACCAAAATGCCTTTAAGGTAAAATAATGCTGAATTTTACTTATTGTGTTTAATCTCTGGCATCCTGAATCAGACGTCCTCTTCGTTTTGGACACTGCATTTTCTTTTTAAAGGAAGAGACATTACAGACAGAATACGCCTCCCATTCTGCTCCATCTCTATGGATCTTTTATTGTTTTACCTCCACATTTATCAGACCGCAACACAGGTCACCATGCCATACTCCCGTTTTTACCTCGTCCTTCAGCTGGAGGAGCGTCGGCTCAACATGCTGAACCTGCCTCTCTGCTCACAGAAGGAAAAGAGAAGGTCTGTTGCTACTCCTGCTTGATTTTTATATGAACTTTATATGCAAAAAGGCTGCCGAAGCATTTTCTCTCATGTCCCTGCTGACCTCAGACGTTTGAGAGCCTTTCGTCAGGGCCGGTGTGTGTGTGTGTGTGTGTCTGTGTGTGTGTCTGTCTATGTGTGTGTGTGTGTGTGTGTGTGTGTGTGTGTGTGTGTGTGTGTGTGTGTGTGTGTGTGTGTGTGTGTGTGTGTGTGTGTGTGTGTGTACAGGTTCCCTGTTTATGTGTTGCACCTGAAAAGAAGACGTGTTACTAATTGCCGTGTGTGTGATAACTCTTTGGGAACATCGTGTATCTGTGCGTTGCCTCTTGGCTGGAACTGACTTCTTCTTGTTTGTATTCTGCTCATTTTTAAACTTTGTGGTCTTCCTTGTACCAAATATTAAATATTAGATATTGATTGAAAGGAACGATGAAGAGCTAACTCTAGAAGAAAAACAAAAAAAGAAGACCACCTCCTTCATCTTGATGGGGGTCAGAACTCTTCAGGTATGACCATCATAGTAACGCTGTGCTGTTTCTCCTTCAGAGACCCGTAAACTCATGTTACCTGACCTTTAACCTCTTTTTCCACAATGGATTGTGTCTCTTGAACTGCTGTAACATTTACATATTGTAGTATTTGGTCCTTGTACTTTAGATGTTTTTACTCTCATGTACCGACTATACTCGTCACAATTCTTTGAGATCCACTGTGACAAACACAATGCTGCTATTATAGACTTTGATTATGGCCATCACACTTAGTGAGTGGACCCAGGTGAGTGAACGTGACACCGTGAAACACGGTGGGCTTGAGGACTGAAGCCCAGTGTTTAAATTCTGCTTCAGCGTGCTGCCTAAGTTTCAGAGTGCCCTACTGCAGGATCTGTAGCCGTCTCTGGTGGTCTTCCTTTACAAGCATGACAACAAAGAAAAATGTAGCTGTGAAATATTTCTGAAAGGTCTTTTTCTTCTTTTGTTGTTTGCAAAGTAGCACCATTTGTTGCTTTTTCTGCAACATTGTGAATTTTGGCAAACGGATTTAGGATTGAAGTTAGCTGTTAGTCCAAACATACAGTAGAAACTTTTAGTCTTAATTCTGTTGAGCATTAAGAAGATTTTGATATCAGCTGTTGAGCTAAAACACAAAAATCCCAGAATCACAATTTTGAAGGGTTTGTAATACCTGCTGCAAAAGAATAATAACAGTTAGATGTGTAACGCTGTGATATTGAACTTTTCAGTGCATTAAAGTTTTATTCTTGAGGGTTTTGTTTGTATGTTTTAAATGTGACTGGATTTCCTTGGTGGAGAGATGTCACTTCTTATCTGAGGAACTTTTACGATTTAAAGAGAAAGTTGATGGGTTCCAGGCGTCATTAATGCGAGCTGACTCCCACGCTAAATATTCTCTCTCTCTCTCTCCGGAGTGGTCGTTAGCTCTTCAGACCAAGACTCAGCTGTTCATCTAGATCTTAAAGAGGATTAAACATTATTTTTGAAAGACAATCAGTCACTCTGAGTTTCACATGCAGGCTGAACATGAAAATGGTCAGGTGTCTTTTACACCTATTTTCCAGCCAGGCAAACCCATCCTATAGTATGTAGTCTGGCCATGCACCATTGAAAGAGCTCAGTTGTGAGGCAAAATCTATGGTTGTCTTTCAAAATGTCTCTGCATGTAATTAGATAGGACCAATCAAAGCAACAAACAACATGGCGTGTTCATTGCTATGGAAATCAGTTAATGGGGCAGTCCGCCATGCACCGTCGAAGAAGAAGAAGCAAATTCTTCCTTTCTCTAAATAACGGACTTTAGGACTGGCTGCTCATGTCTCACAGAAAAGTCCAAGTCTAAACTGTCCAAAGTTGATGTCAAAGCCGTTTCAAACGAGCGCCGTTCCAGACCATCATTGTGGTTTTTTTCCATGGCAGCTCTGGGGTTAAGCCCGCCCAATGAACGTAGGGAGTTGTGATTGGCAAGACACAAAACTGTTCATGCCAACGGTAGACCTGCTGAGGTTACAAAGGAGCATGGCTAGATCAACCTGTAGAGCAAAATCCTTTTGCTATGATTGATAGATTTCTAGACTACAAACTTCCTGCATTTGCCACCGATTGAAAATAGACGGGGAAATGTCCGGATCAGAAAAAAATACACTGATCTACATCACACTGTACATTAGCATTCATGGACTCACCCATCTTGGATGAAAGTGGGTAAGGCTCTGTTGGTTTAGTGTCAAAGAGAGAGCACAGCACGTCTTGGCTAGTAGAAGCTAACCATTAGCATTAGCAACTCCGCAGAAATAAAACATCAGTGTTGCAGAGCAAACAGAAGCAGTGGAAGAGTTGCACTGCTGTTAGTCAATCAGAGGCGAGATGTCTGAGATCTTACTGGTGGACAACAGAAGACCTGGACCTGGTCAGAAGGGAGAAAAGGATTTACTTGTGAGTTTGTTTGCATAAATGGAAACTTGCTCCAATTTAAATCCTTGGATTTTTGTAACTTTTACTTTTAGATTCATATGCTCCTCAGATTAGAAGTGAAAGGTAAAAGTATTAAGCATGTAGCTCAAAACACTTCCACTTACAGCAGCCTGTGAAATATTCTTGTTGTAGTTCGACAATCATAGAAAATAGGGCCATTAATGCAGGAGGATGAAAGGGCTTTTGTGTGATAAAAAACTTAAATGTTCGTGCTGAAACTACTGAAGTGGGTAAAAATGTGGTAACTATTCTTTATTTTGGATTTTAGTTCTGATTTGGATTTTGAATTTTATTTATTTTATTTATTTTTTTGGCTGTTCAAAGTCTTATCATAACACTGAAAAATATTAAAGAATACATATTATTTTAAATAAAAAGGAGCAAACTCTAAAATTGGGGGGGGGACATGTCTGATTATGATGTTCTCTTTTTTAAAAGTGGTAGTTTTACATTAGGTGTAAGGGGACACGCGTTTGTGTTTAAATCTGAGTAAGTGTTCAAATGAAGCAAAAACTGAAAAAAAATCTGCTTTTGAACCTTGCTTTCAAATTTCAAACCACTTTCAGAAAACTTCTTCACAAAGTAGCACAAAAATGTTTGCAAGCGTTAAAGAGGAGTACTGAAATATTTATGATGTAACTTGAAGGCCTCCTGGACATGAAGTAGAAGAGTTTACAGTTTAAAAAGTTGTTTTGACATGAAAATGGTGTGTGAATGCTCTATATGTGCCATCATTTCTGTGTGGTGTATCTATTGAGAGTAGCTGGGTGGTTCACCTGCACAGCAGCTGAACAAAGAGGGTACTCTAGCTTTTGGGTTTAGTCCTGACCAACTTTCTGTGTTACTGACATGAGAAGATCCCCTCATCATGTGGATTAACTGCTGTCTTTCCTTTTATGTTGCTTACAGCTGAATATGTTAGCATCCTCTGTGTGCGGTACAAAACATGATGACTGGATTGTAAAAATGTTCTCCATGTTCACTTTTAGTATAAAGTCTGGCTCTTTGAATAAAAACAGAAGAAGAAGAAGCAGATGTGCCTGGGACTCTTTGATCTGTTGATTTGTGAGTATGATAAACGACTTCAGACGTGAGCTGAATCCGTGCTCCGCGGTGTGCCGCTGCACGCTGCGTCAGCCGATCAGCGGCATTCTCTGAATGAAGTCAGTAGTGTCTGTTTGGAAAGTATGGAGCGGTTGTGTGGTGGTCGATTCCAACGGCCAGCTGTGATTGATGATTCTGATGATCGTCTGCTTTGCTCATCATCGTTGCATAAGACTGGTTAGAGAGTCACAGTGGTGTGATGAAGCCCCCGGGATGGGATCAATCAGACAGACAGAGAGGTTAAAACAAACTCAGCCTCCACTTTCAATAACTACTGCAAACAGTTCTGGTTAACTGTGTTTCCCTTTGAAACAAGGATTGCTGCTAAAGATCTCAAACAGCCAAGACAAAAACAGACATCTAAAGGACTGATTAAGGTCAGAGTTCACGATTCAGAATGAGACAGTCAACCATGGTGGTGGCAGTGATGGTCTGGGGCTGCTTTGCTGCTTTAGGACACGACCCACTATTACTGATGCATGAATTCTGCTCTCGAGCAGAAAACCCTCAAGTTTGACCTCATAGAGGCCACTTGTACTGGAAAACCCTCCAATGCAGCTGAGCTAAAACAGCTCTGTAAAGAATCAAGTGTCTGTCACAAAAGGGTGTTACAGCTGCTAATTAGCTTTGGGAGTCTGTAACTTTTCCACATTGAGTCAGGTTTTATTTAGTAATAAATAAAATATTCTTGTAAGACTCCACAAAAAGGGTTCCTTTATTAACATTACGTAGTGCATTATTAAACATTAATAACATATTAAATAAATTATTAACAACAGCTTCACAGCTTTATGTCATGTATTACTAAGCAGACCTCCTCCCCCAGCCCTTTGTTGTAACCTTTAACGGTAACGTTAAAGAGGAACTAGGCAGATTTGGCTTGATTTTAGCACCCCCTAGTGTCAGTTTGTAGAACTGAAAGCAAAATCTATCTCCTTACTGTGTGTTTGCCTTTTAAACACTTCAATCTAACAGCTGAAATGCCTAACAAGCCTTCCTTATTGTCTACAGGAGTGATTCATCACTAGGCCTGCACGATATTAAGAAAACCGGCAACATTCAATAACAATGATTACTATTGCAATGACGATATTACTTGCGATAAATAAAAACTTAACTCAGGAACAAAAATAAACAAAAAATCATAAAAATGAGAAAAGCAAAAGATTTGAGGAAAGAGAAAAAGAAAATGAACAAGAAAAGGCAATCAGTGGATCCTGGGAAAAGCAGAATCAGCAAAAATAGCAGAACAAAGCTAACTCAGATGTTTGCTAACCATCAAAATTAAGTTACATCCGCCGCAGGGGCGGGCATCTAACCTATGAGAACCCACCTATTTGGCCAAATGGGTGAAGAGCTCTATTTGATTTGTTAAAAAACATCATGCTTCTGTTTGACTGACAGAATGCATTATGTGTAGCAAACATTTCAGCTGACCATTCATTGCGATATTTATCTGTTCTTTGCGATATACATATTGTGCATGCTGATATTGTGATAACAATGTTGTGACTATTAGGTCAACGAATACTTTGTAAGCTTTTACTTACTTTTTGGATACTTCAATAAATTCGTAAATATGGAAATATTTACCGATTTATTAATTAATTAGGATATCCGGGGATATTCTCGGGGCACCACGCCTTCTAATTAGAAATGGATTGAATCCAAAACTATTATCAGTCTCGTCTAAACGTTCCGTGAATCCTAACGAGCTGCAGTTGAATAATTCACATCACACAAACAAACTCAATCTGAGACAAAAATCTTAATTGGCTATACATTTATTAACTAATATCATCACTTCAGCTCCTTCTGAAGCGTTAATCAATCAATATCAACCAGCTGATTTTATCAAATGAATAACAAGTAATTAAACAATGAAATAATGTAAAACAATCTGACCCAATAAGTGTGTGGTTTAGCTTGAGTCCCCCCAAACACTAAAAACAAGTATGTGTGTGTGTCCCCCTAAACAGGGAAAACCAGAATGTGCATGTGTGTGTGTGTGTGTGTGTGTGTGTGTGTGTGTGTGTGTGTGTGTGTGGGTGGGTGGGTGGGTGGGTGGGCAACTTGCACTTTAAACTTCCAAAGCACTTTCAATCATAGTAACTTAAACTTAATTCACTCAAAACACTTAAAAAAGATCAAGAAACAACACAAAAGATCAATCATAAATGAATATCTGATAGTTTGTCAGCCTGGCCACAGCATAAAACTATTTAAGCTATTGAACAATGACAAACAACAAAACGGCTTACTCTTAAAAGGATCCGATGGCGTTTTTTGGTACGGAGAAGAGAAAACCGATGTAATTTGAAGCAATAGCGCGGTTTTATTGCTTGTTCGGACTAAGAGAATTAACGGAAGAAAAAAGGTAGAGAAAGAAAACTTTGAACGAACGAAAACAGCGAGGCGTCCCCCAGATGTTCCAATCGGCGTTCTCCGTTGATTTGATGGTTTTCCGCTGCTTTCCAGCCAGGCCTCGTGCCTGAGTCCAGAGCCGTAGCAACGAGCGAGTCCTTCACCACCAGTTGGACTGGACAAAAGAACGAATAAGTTTTGTTTTCGCTGACATTTATAGCTTTCAGCGGCTGAGACTGTGTGGCTCCCGCACATGCATAGAACGTGTTTCCGGGGTTCGGCAGTGACGTCATCACATTGCTTCCGGCTCAAGGAATCATGGGAAATGAAGTTGTAGCTGGCGCTGACTTTTAATATGCTCTTCAGAGCGCAGATAACAGTCTTTTGGAGAAATTACTGCATAGTAATTTCCTCATGAGGGCATGCTGGCGCTGGAATATATTCCAGCTTTTCAGAGCAAATGACAGAGTCTTTTGGAGAAAATACTGGGTAGCAATTTCTCATGAGGGCAGACCCTCAACAACAATATATCTACGATATATTGTGCAGCCCTATTCATCACTAAGTTAAACTAATCAGCCGTGTTCATGGTCGAAAACATGCAGAAAATGTGCTGGAACCAGACTGTAGCGCCAGGTATGTCAGTCCGAACAAAGCAGCCCGCCAGTCTGAAGTTTCAAGTGGAACCTTCTGGCCACAGGGGCTGATAGCTGGGTGGCCTTTTATTAACCATGAAATTGGTCATTTTAAGACATACTGGCTCAAGAAAATGATTTAAAAATATGAAAAAGTGGCATAGTATCCCTTTAACCCTCCCACTGTCCCAATGGGTGTGACCCCGAGAGGAAAGTTGACCATTGAGCAGGGTTGATGGTTTATCCCTTGGGTCCACGTGGCAGGGGTGAGGAGTGAGCACCACCTCACCCCTGCCACGTGGACCTCAAGGAATGAACCATCAACCCTGCACAATGGTCAACTTTCCTTGCGGGGTCACCCATAAAGACAGTGGGAGGGTTAATGAAGGGACCCATATTGTAAAGTGTTACAATTTTTTTATTGTACAAACAAAAAATAATATTTAAGGAGCCAAATTTAATTTTTAGAGTTTTGTATTTTACAAAGTTGTCTTCCCTAAGCTAGTCATGCTAGCTGTTTAGCTTACGACTCAAACGTTCATGTTCCACAAAGGATGATCGTCCATAATAATGAGACTCAAGAACACATTTTTTTTTGTCCTGTCTGGCTGTGAAGCAAACAGAATTATGTCTGAATGCTGGTGGTAAGCCTTACAGATGTAAGGTTATGAAGTTCATTATTTTCAACTCCACACAGCTGCCCCCTGTGCACAATAACACCCGTGTAGAAAAACCAAGGTCGGGTGTTCCTCAGACTGTTTACATTCCAGGAGAAGAGTCCGAAGGAGGAGAAGAAGCTTTACTTAATCAAAGTACTTTATTTGTGATTAAAATTATTAAGCAAAACAGATGTTGATCAACAATAATCAAGTGAATGATCTGTGAAATAAATATGTCATGATTTATGTTTAATGAAAACAGGACTACTGCACAGACATACTGATCCTCATCTCCATAGAAACGCATGACACATTGTTCCAACCAATCAGAGCTTTCGGCTGCCGCAGGAGAATCTGGCTTGTTGACTTAAAGTATCCAATCCGTTTACTGAAACTTAAAACAATTCAGAGATATAAAACAAGGCAACGCCATTTTAAGCTCAGTTCCATTTTGACTTCAGTTCTAGTCACCGTCATCCTAAAGAAAAGCACAGACTGGCCAGATGTGTTTTCGTCTTTAAACTAAGAACTGTGAAGTTGGAGATTTTCGTCGTTTAACAACCAGACGACGTCCTTTCAAAATAAGAGCACCTGCTGACGCCGCCGAACGGTACCGGGGTCGACCCTCCAGACGGGCTTTGAAACGTTGCGACCGCTGCACCGACAGCTCCAGCGTACATCCGAGGTTCTTGGACCTGGCATTTCCTGATCTACCTGGGAGGCCCCCACTGGGTACGTACACGGTAAAATAGCGGCTCATGTCATCACTTTATAAGCCTCGTGATATCTAGTCATAACAAAGACTACCAGATTCAATGACGTCATCCTAAAGAGTCTGAACCAACCACACACACACACACGCACCAACACAACATCCAAATCCATTTTCATCCATCACAGAGTTAGTCCTGGTAGATTGTTTAGAATTTATAATTACGAAATTAAAGATTCTCAAACGATCCCATCTCTCTCTCTTTTCTTGTCTCAAAGTCAATACAGAGTGTTTAATTAAACTCCCTGATGATAAAAACAGCCTATTCTTCTGTTTATAAAAAGTGATCTACTTACAGTGTATTAAAATACAACTCTAGATAGTTACATCACTTCAATTCCGTTACATATGGCGAGCCTAGCTTGATATCTGCACAGTTTATTACACTTTGTGCCGATTTTGAGACATTTTGGGATTTATTTTTGTTCAGTGTGTGTTAAAGAAAAAAGCGAGCGCTTCCTCATTCAGCTCTCAGAAAGGGGGGTGCACATTCATCACCCTCCGACAGGAGGCGCTGTTTCATCAAAACACCTTAAGTGCTGACGTGTGCTGATGGCCATTTTGAGGCCTACATCTAAGGGTAAACATTTCTCCTGTTTTATTGCATTGGAACCGTCTGTTTATTGTTTGTCGCGGTGTTTGTGACACTGTGTGCATCCATTTGTGTAATCGGAGACAGAAGACTCCGTCGGAAAATTATTTCCGTTCGATAAGCGCAGGATCCGCGCTGTTCTTTGTCGGAATTCTCGTTAGCACCTACCGTAGCTTAACTTGCTAGGTAAACGCTGTAAGTCGGGAACTACCGCAGAGCGATACTGCATCCAGATTGCGTACGCTGTTGAAACCCTTTCAATCACGGAGCGAGATGCCCGTTGGTTGATCGAGGCAATTTTGAGACCCTGGTCGCTCCAGGGTGTTCGCTAGCATTAGCCGACGAGCTAACTAGCCACTCTCAGTGTGAAGCTCGGGAACGCGTCCCGCAAAGCTTTCTAGCCGTTCCGACGCAGCGAAACTGCGTCCTTTAATCCGCTAAACCTTCCGGTACGGAGGTACAGATTTACTCTCAGGTGGAGCATCAAAGCGTCTGCTTTTAATGTCACGCCTGATACTTAAAACCTTACTGTTATTGTTTTTTGAATGCTTTGTAATTCCGACCAGACACGGAATCAGAGGTGAAAGAGAAAGTAAGAAACAAAAGGGGGGGGGGGGGGGGGGGGCACAAAAATAAACAATCAATGATGAACAAGAGTCTGCTTCTAGACCTGCAGGAGAAAAACAAAGAAAAAAGGGATAACCAACAATACAATAGGAGCAAGCTATCACTGCATCAACCTGATGAGGAAATGTAAAATCAACATTGTTTTACTGAACAATCACACGATTATAAATCATAGTGCATTTAGTGCCAACCACAGCCTTAAGACATGTTGAACATGCCCAAGTCTATACTTATGAAAGCACCATGTGAGCACCTGTGTGTGTGTACACGCGCTTGTATATGTATGGTTTCTCTATAGGAGCATCCAATAGAGAGTGTGAGGGGCCACAGATCTGCCCCCCAAATATGTGTAGAAGATGGAAGGAGCTCCAAGTCCCAGAGATCCAGGAGCTACCCCAGAACACAGGAACCCCAGGGAGACTGCAACCAGAAAAGCCCCAAACCCCCTCAAGAACACAAGTTACTGACTTTGTTATTGTTCTGTCTTGAACACTGATATTTAATACATGCAACATGACATTGTGCAGCGAGCATGTTTAGACATCAGTAAAGTGTCCTTTTACCCTCCATTGGTGTACCATGGCTCACACAATCCAGGCAGTATATCTGAGTTGACATCTAAGTTGAACTCAAATGATCGGAAGAAGATTTGGAGACCTGGTTGGACACACACACACACACACCTTTAAACATGACACGGGGACAAAAGTGGATGTGTGTTGAATGTTTGTGTCAAGATGCTGTCGCACACTTCATCGTGGGATGTCAGCAGTGATGTTCCTTCAGCTTCCTCTGAGGTGACCTGAAGTTATTCTCTGTGGCTCTCTTAACCATGATGCCAGAAGTTTCCATAGGACCACACAGTGGTTCTCTTGGTAACAAGATCAGACATTCGCGAGACAAAGTGGACGCTGTCACTGTCCTGGTGTGGTGTGTCATTTGACAGTTATGTTAACATTTAGCATGAGTTAGCCTAGTTCCAACACTCGTGGGTTTAAGATGTTTTACCCTGAGGGTATCTATTAATAATTACATAAATACTGCAAAAACATCAACACTAGAGCTAATCCAGTGACACAAATGATTGAAATGGCTGTGCATGGATTCACATAACATTAATAATAATATTGATGGAATAATGTATTGAGCAGTTTTCAAGAATTTTATTTTCATTTATTAAATGTTCTGCGGTGATATCCCATTAAGTGTACCGTGCTGTTATGGCTGATGTTTCAGGCTAGAATGTTGGGTCCATGAAGAACAGAAAAGAAATCAAGCAGGTTGTCTCCAGACTTCTGAAGGTCCCAAAGTGACATGGAGCTAATTAACTTACACTTAATTAATGCTTATTAAGTAAAATGTATGGGAAAAGCTAATTAATTTGGATATTTATACTACATCACACACATCTGACTTATATTCCGATGGTCTTCTATGAAGATACTATATAATAAAATAATAATGTAGCTGAGCATTCAGACTGTTTTGTAATAAATAATTTTTTTAAAGAAAGCTATGTTTAATAGAGAAAATTATGGGTTTTTCCTTGATAAAATTATTATTATTGTTGTTGTTGTTGTATTCTGTTGCAACAACAACAACAAAATGTCAGTAAAAATGGGGAAATGCTATTTTTTTCTCGCAAGCACAGAAGGGAAGATGTATATTTTATGGAGACACTTTCCCATTATCTAGACTTACTATGCGACACTAATTTAAAGACTGTAGAAATTTAAAAGTGGTATGTTTTATTTTGAAAGGATTTACAGGAAATGGTAATCAGATATGTCTTATTTGTGAACGCTGTAGTAACGGGTTATGTCCGCCAGAGGGCGAAAACACATTTACGCTCAAAAAAACAGATATTGAGTTGTTTCCTTCACGTTGACTTAAATGATACATAAAAATCCCATAGAGACATAGTTTGTTGCCACCATTAAGTTAAATGAATGATTACAAGTAAATATAATAAAGGTTTATTTAGAAAAAATAGTATTTAAAAAACTGAGTTTTTATTGTTGTTTTTTTATCCTAGTTCATACATTTATTGTTAGATCAAAAATGACCTTTTTAAAAACATTTCTATGTCCCCCGCTGGTCTCCCGTGTTTTTAAATGCAAAATTTGACAGGTCTCCTCTCCTCCTCCGTCTTGTAACAAGAAGTTCAAGCTTGTCGCCACTGGAGGGCACCAAATCCCCCTTCTCACTCATGTAAAGTTGATTTAAAACTGGGTTTGTAGCGCTGTAGATATGCGTGTTTACAGTGGCACGATGCAGAGTAGCTCAGATAGTTTCACTTTTTTCAGCTTGAGAAATTGGAGGTGTGATTTTAGAGCGTGTGAGACAGTTTAATGCGTGTGTCTCACGCTCATTTGCGTGAGAGTTGGCAGCCCTCTGCTGCTACTGTTAGCAACGTGTCTCGGTGGACATCCTTCCTCCACAGTTGGTCTGAAAGCGTCGTGAAACTCACAAAACACACTCGTGCTACCATTTATTATCCATTCATTGCACTAATATTCACACTGGCTCAAGCATTTTATTTAAGTAGTAGTCACTCATCTAAATACATGAATAAACCTGTGAAATTTAAATGTGATGTACACTAGAGTAGTAGACTGCAGCAGTCCCCATGGCAACGGAGGAGAGGGAGCGAGGGCATCACAGAGCATCACATCATAGCCAATGGGGCTCGTTCTTGAGATTTGTGTGTGAATCTTTTCATTGCTGAGAATTAAAACCACGCAACAGCATCGAACATTTTGATTCAAGACCGAAATTAAAACGATAGAAATTCAATTTGGCAGCAATTTCTCCAGCAGAGATATGGTACAATCCACCCACATAAAACAACCATCTCTAATGTCATCCCTGCCCCTCCCTCCCTCCGTCTGGCAGGCACCACTCACCGTTGAGGGGGGATTCCATCCATCCACCACAAATCTGGTGCTCATTGTGGCAGAATTGCAGTTCACTGGACTGTACAGAGCAGGGTACCATCCAGGCTGTTCTCTGTGAGGGGTGGGGTCCGGCTACACTGACACCACCTAACAGAGGCTCACAGAGAGAAGGGGAAAAGGACAGGAACCAGAGCGAGAGAAGAAGGGGGGACGACAGCACCTGAAGAGGAATACGGGTAAGGAGGGAAGGGGGATGGAGGGAGAGGGAAGGAGACAATGAGGAAATGTCCAGAATGGGTGAAACAGATTTGCTCCTGTGCCTCTTCGCTTTATTCCATCCCTGTTGACAATCCATCTGACTCAATCCCCTTTTTATTTCGTCTTTGGTATTTTTTTTATTCCATCGTTCACATTAGGTCATCCCTCACCCATCTAAATGGTTTTTACTTTTACATCTGATTGTTCTGTGGGTGTGCTAGCCGATCATGGGGGGAATCAGTGGGCCATGTTGGAGAAAATAACCATTTGGCCTAGTTTATGTTCCTTTTAGCTTTTCAAAAAACATACAGCCTTTTGTTCCATTTGAAGATGACAGAATCCTGTTGTGCCGATTCAATGACACATGTTCATCTTTATTCCCAGAAACTGCATGCATCTATACCTCACAACCAGCTGTTTAAATCTCAATCATCTAAATATTTTTAGGATTAACTCTTATTGAGTAACACAAACCAGCAGTTAAGTATTTTACACGATTAGCTGAGCAAATGACTACTTTGCCAAATGCACCAAATCAACCTTTTGATATGCAACAGAGCAAAAAGGGACCTACTCAACTGCAATGTTTAACCATAAATGTTGATGCTCCTGTGGCTAGGATGAAAGGAGACACCCCAGTCAACAGCACCATGAGCGTGGGCCAAGCCAGGAAGCTGGTGGAACAATTAAAGATCGAGGCTAGTTTCTGCAGGATAAAGGTACGTCCAGTTTCAGACAACAGGACAGGGAAATGTCTGGTTCTCATCTTTTCACACTTGGGTCACTGGCAGGTCTTTCTTCTATTTGATGCTCCTGATGTCGTCAAAGACACCTTGCTGAAAGGTTTTATCTCTTTATCGCAACAAATTAGAAGTATGAGGGGAAATGTAGAAATAAGCTGAGTTTTCACTTCAAAACAACACGTTTCATCTCTTAATCATATTCGCTCTCAATTTATCAATCGTTCCTACCCTCACCTATGGTCCCGAGCTTTGTGTAGTGACCAAAGAACAAGATCACAGATTCAAGCGACCAAAATGAATTTTCTCTACAGGGTGTCTGGGCTCTTCCTTAGAGATAATGAGACGTTTGTTTATCTGGGAGGGGCTCAGAGTAGACCCGCTGCTTCTCCACATCGAGAGGAGCCAGTTGAGGTGGCTCAGGGTTCTGGTTAGGATGCCGCCTGGAAGCCTCCCTGGTGAGGTTTTCCGGGCACATCCAACCAAGAGGAGACCTAAAGGAAGACCTAGGACACGCTGGCAGGACTATGTCTCTCAGCTGGCCAGGAAACACCTTGGTATTACCCCAGAGGAGCTTGTCCAGGTGGCAGGGCCTTTCTGGGCCTCTCTGCTTAGACTACTGCCCCCGCGACCCAACCCCAGATAAGAGGATGATATTAGATGGATGGATTTATTTTTATTCACATTCCTCCAAGCCATTCTGACATGCAAATGATGACTATGCTGTTTGGCTGTCATAAATAATGTATAAACTTATCAGCATGGTTTGAGCTACATGAGCTAAATATGTAGTATTGGGGGCTCATATGGGCTTCTAGGTATTTTCATGACTAACATGGATTGAACTCAGACAGAAATAAATGGATATTTTCTCAAGTAACCTGAAATCAAAAGAAGCAGTGATATAAATGAAAGAATCTCTGGATGTAAAACATCACAGTGAAACATTCTGAAAAACTCTAAATCAGAGTGTTTTTCCTCCAGGTATCAAAGGCTGCAGCCGACCTGATGGCGTACTGCGACGCACACGCCTGCGACGACCCCCTGATCACCCCGGTGCCCACCTCAGAAAACCCCTTCAGGGAGAAGAAATTCTTCTGCGCTCTGCTTTGAGACAAATCAGGGATTGATGTGATTCAAAGTACAACTGTACAGTATGTACATGTTTGTACAGTGTGTACATGTACTTCCAGCCTAAGTAAGACATTAATGTACTATAGTAACCTTCCATCATAGCTGCCACTGTACAGTACATAATCAACTACATGTTAAATCCTAAAAGTGATTAGAGGGCGGGACAATTTGAGACTAAACTCAAGATTTGAACAGTCAAGTTTCAAAGTAAAAGCTAAAAACATAAAAAGCCATCATGTTCCATGCTTGAATGCTTCAAGTAACTGCTAAATATACGCTGATTAAATTAAATTTTATGTGGAAATCCTTAGGTTCCGGGATAAGTGTTAAAGCAACAATCCGTAGTGTTCAGGCATTACGTAGTTTTTTAGAAATCTGTAAAAGTGATACGTCTTCTTTTGCAAAGCCTACTTCTCCTCCCATAGAGCTTCATACAATTTGAATTGAGACCACTCAGCATTAGCCAATAGCGTTAAGCCTAATTTATACTCCTCCGTCGGTACAGAGACACGTAACGCCATTGTCCGTCATCGCAAGGGCTAGCCAACGTGCAAACAAGGACGGATGGAGTAGAGCCCACTTTTCTAACTATCCATCGAAAACAGTGAAGATCGCAAGCCTATGAGTGGTCAGAATGCCGCTTACGTCCTTCGTCAACAGCACCACTTCTGACTGAAGGAGTACAAAGAAACGCTGCAAACTTTATTTGTGTAGGGAAATTACAAGAAAAGTGAGTTTAGAGGTGGTGACTGGATGAAGAAGTGGAGGGCAAATATGTTAAAAAGTTTCTGAAATATACAAACACACTAGAGACATGACTATATTGATGGCAGGATACCCCAGATATGCGCTACGCCCTCTGTAGTCCTGGCGGAGTATTGCTTTACAACACTGACACCAACGGAGAAGTATTAAAGGAAACGTCTTTATCACTATGTGTCTGTTGCTGCTGCCTCTTGGCCAGATCGTCGTTGTAAACGAGGATTTCTCAATCGACTCATGTGGATAAATAAAGGTTGAGTAAATATGTGGGCGTGTAAACACAGACTTACTGATGGAGATGTAAAAAATTAGTCTTTGGACTTCTGCGTATGTATAGATGTCAATCAGAGTGTGTGCGCGTGTCTGTGGACGTATCTAGACCGATGCAGAGTATGCAACATTTCTTATGGACACTTAAGTCTCTATAAATGCATATAAGCATCAGTTTGCCTGGCTAGAGGTACAAGTTCATAAATGAGAGGCATTGCTTCCTGCTATAATTACGGAAGGGGAGGGGCTTTATGGTGCAATACATGTTTCCACCTGTTGATGGTGCCGTTTACAAAACAAACTCCAGATTTCTGCTTTAAGTCAGGGCCCCAGATTTCAAACTCCTTGTAGATGGAAAATATTACCCAACAGACATTCATTGTCATTTTTAGAGTGGGGTCTAGCCTTTTTTTTTTTTTAACCAATTCATATTTTCTTGGTGATTTTAGCAGTTATTTGTATCAAACCACAACAGCTGGTAATAACCTACAGATGAAAGATATTTCTTTAAAAGGTTTTCTCAAGATTTTAGCATTTTTGCCAATCCGGTTACTGTCGTTTGGAAGTGGACGTGTGTGTGTGTGTGTGTGTGTGTGTATGCATAGGTGCTACTGTGAAACTTAAAAGCAACAATTCTGAGCATTTTATCCCTGTAAATTTAACATTTCCTTTAAACACATTATTCAATGACACAAAAAGCCCCAAAGCAACACTTTTCAGGGGGTACAGACATTAAAGCTAGTTTATTCCACGCAGCCATCAGGTTCTTATTGGTGTGTTGAGTGAACTCTTCGATTCTTTAGGGGGCAGAACAGAAACAACAGTTTCAATGTGCTTTTATAAGCAGATACGCCATTTTCAATTCAATAATACTTTATTAATCCCAGAGGGAAATTAGATGCTGTTTAACTGTTAAGATCTGTCAGGTTTTCAGAGAAATCAAATTTCATGGTCATTATTTTGTTTGCGTGTAATTTAAATGATTGTTCTGTCAAATTTTACATCCCAATTCCATCACCAGGAATTTTTTACATAACCCATCAACCTCCCTCAATTCTGGGTTTTAAAACTGCATTTTCAGTACCTCGGGGGGAAAAAAATGAAAAAATTAAGAGCTTTGGCAGAAAATGTAAGCACTGAAATTAAAAACCTCATCATGAAAGGTCACTAGTGTCTTGTGATTTTATTGAATTGAAACGTAAACATAACACCAGATGTGACGTGCATTTAAACACATGGGAGCATTTTAAACAGAGAGCTAATGAGCAGAAGCATCGATCAATATGAACGTAGGCTTAAATGATGCAGCCTGAACGTACAATACAGTTGACTTTATTAAATGCATGTTTACATCAGCATGCATTAAGGCATCTTATGTTCTTAAAACAACTTTAAGCTCAGCTACAAAAACATGAACAATATGTATCAAAGGTTTTGAGTCACATGTTTATTTTTCCTCAGGTTCAAACGAGTGCAGCGTAGATCCGGTTCATGTAGATTGTTTATTAGCAGGACCAACAGTTAAAACAGCAGTTTCTATCTCTACACACATCTTTAAAACACTTCAGAACACCCCAGCGTCACACCAGTCACCCGTCTGTCTGCTTCCTCGGAGAAATCGATTAAAAAAGACTAACTCACAGTAGATGGTAGTGGATGATTTTCAAAAAATATATATTCTAGCTTTACTCAAACCTACCTGTTTGTAAAATTATACCCCAGAAAAGAAAATTCCTTCAGTCCAAGTTGTGTAAAAGGTTTAGTCGGAAACAAACAAGAACGTTTAAGAGGTGTATTTTAGGAATTGTAAGGTAAGATGTACCAACCAACCCAGGACAGAAAGTTGTTAAAAGTTTTATGAAATTCAGCATCTTTTAAAAATCCAGCTGCTTAAGTGTTCATTTCAGAAAACACACTCATTATGAATAAAGCTACATGACATTTGAATTCCACCGCCATGTTCATGCACACAACTGTGACAGTAGTTTTTGTAATCTACACATCAAGGAGGCAAAGATAATAGTTTTAATTTTAGCTTCTAAAATGGGTCAAATGTTTGTACAAAAAGGTGCAACGACAGTGAAAATTCTTGGTTTGAGAGCAAAATGTACAAATTTAAGAGAGGCATGTGTCACATTAACTAAACTGGTGCTTGCAGTGCCAGATTATACATATCGCGCAGCTGAATTGACTCAAGATCACTGAAAAGGTCATGTACATTTGGACTTTGGGAGAAAAAAAAACAGATTGACCAGAGGGCTTATAGGAAGGCATCACACCATTCTTTGAGACAGCCGTAGCAGTCACCTTGCTGTTTGGAGTTTGCACCACAAGTGTCTTTGAGCCAGTCTCGGAAAAGCTCCTCATCCTTCTTCAGAACTAGAAACTGCCCAAGAACAACGTACGCCTGTGGGAAGCAAACATAAAACCGAAGTAAGACCAGAGCACAACAGATTAAAAGTGTTGTCGAAGAGCAGCTAGACTGGACAAACAGCCCAGACTAGTATTACTTGACTTCTGTATTTAAAGGTTGATTAATAATGCAAAGCAGAGCCGGACACTACCAGAGCATCTAAAAGAGGGGGCTTTCATATCCCACTGATAGACCATGTTTGGTCAGACAGTTGTGTCCCACAGCGGTGGAACGCGCTACTTCTTTTCAGGAAGTGTCTAATTTTTAAGAATCTCTTCAAAGCACAGTAACTGTGATTGAGACGTTGCATCGTTTCTGCAAACTGTTGCCACAATAGTTTATATTTAAAGGTGTGGAACACTTGTTTAATCACTACTTTTGCAGTGGTCTCTAGTAGGAATGAATGCCTTGTAGGACATTCTCAGCGGGGTGTGGGGGCGGAGCTCCAGTGCACTAGTTTCAGGAACTAAAAAATTGCTACATCAGAGGAGAGATTCACATGGTAGGATTTGGAGTCTTACTTCCTGATATTTGAACGTCTTGTCTCTGATTGGCTAACTGCAATGCGACTACCACAGACCTCGTTTGCTCTGCAACGCTGATGTTTCATCTCCCCAAATAACACAACCACGAAGGAGGTCTGCTGTGTGGTGAAGTTGCTAATGCTAATTGTAGCATTTGTATTTACAAGTTACAAAGTTAATTAAAAGATCTTTGATAAGCTATCATCTTGTCTTTATTAGTTAGCACATGATTTCAACTAGAAGCTAATGATGGGTATATAGATTATCATGTTGCAATAAGCTATAATTTTATGCTCGACACACGATTAGTTGACTAATCGTCAACAAAACTGGCGACTAGTCGACTACTAAAATAGTCGTTTGTGGCAGCCCCATCAGAAGCTAATGCAGGAAATAGGTGAAGACTATTTTCAAGTTCAGCCTGCATGAAAAACTCAGAGTGACCAATTATAAACAGAAATAATCATTAAAAATAGGCGCTATGTAACTGCGGGACATTCATCATTTAAAAACTGTTCTTCAGTGAACCACAACTTTAACTGTGGGTTATACATCTTTCCCTGTGTGTTCAGTATTTGACAATTTTCTGTATTAAATGAAATATTAGGAGTGAAAGGCTACGGAGAACTAGATCACCTTATCAAAACCCTTCTCTTCTAGTCTCTTTCCAAGGACTTCTCCAATCCCAGCGAGAGCCATCACATTTTTCTCTCCCATGGGCTCAGCCACAAACTCTTTGTGTTTTTGAGATGTTGAAGACATGGCTGTCAGAGGCACCCAAACGCTGAGCTGTAAAAGAAAATGAGATCGCAAAATTGATTGCTTTTCACTGGAAACAGCTTGTGGCAAGACAACTGCAACCATCTTTCCAGCTTGGTGTTTTAGTTTAGTGTCTGCCGATAATTTTTAAGTAACATTGCAAATAAAATGAAATGCGTGTTGAATTTCCTGGGTGTTATGGCAGCCTTGCATGCGATTTGATTAATTATCTGTAGTTTAACCCTCTGCTATCATTTTAACTTCATCAATGTAGACGAAAGTTAAACAACAGATAACTTAATCATCGGTGTTTATTTTCAAACCATGGTTGATTATAAAGACAATTTACTCACTATCACCGCAGTCAGTCCCACTGTTAAAATGCGCGCGCAACAAATTTCAACGCTAACAGAATTAGCACAACTTAGCGCTCATTAAGGACACATTGGCCTCACAGGAAGTGCCTTATAAGTCTCCCCCGGGTGTCAGCAGAGGGTGCCAACTATTTTCAAACATTACGAGATGTTTACATAATCCTTAAACTTGCGTACTGTGATATTAACTAGCCTTATGGAAACATGCTAAGCATTCAGGCGCATTTATGCTAAAAATAGCTTGCGCGCTAGCGTATTTCATGTCTAAATTAGCTGCTTATTAACATTCAGCGGTGTTTTAATCTCTTTGCGTCATTTGACCGCTAAAACACATGAGATAAGACGGTTGGAACGTACCTTTCAATGTCCACCTCAGGATTAATGATCTCGCTGCAGCTAGAAGTGAAGCTAGATGTGCTATTGAACACCGGGGACCACAATGCACTGTGCTTGCGTCCTGACGTCAAAGGAGACGTCAACTTCAAAAACCTTGATTTACAGGTGAAACGGCAAAAAGCCAATAAAACGCATCAACTACACTTAAAGCTAGATTTTAATTTCATGTGATAATCAGAATATCAATATTAATTTTGTGCTGTCGTTCAAACCTTAAAAGACCATTCAGAAAATCAGTAAACAATAAACTAGAGAAAAAAAAGCATTTTAAAACTAAACAAATAAGCATTTAACTATACTGAATGTGGACAGCAATGTTTGGTTCAACATTAAATTAATGCACAATAAAAACACATTACCTCCTTTATGACAACATTTATTCTCACATTTGTAACAGTATATATGGAATTGAGGTTTTTTAAGTAATTGTGCGTATTTGTCACCTGCCATCATTCTCTGGTATGCAACAGTTGAAGGCAAGCTTTATTGGTGCAACTTTCACTACAACTCAAGGTCAGTAATTTTGGTTTAATAAGCTCAGCATAAGCCTACAGCAAAGCTAGAATGTTGGAGGAGAGACTGCAGGTCAGTCCAGTGCCATCCGGCTCCACGTTGATCTTCTTCACAACCCCATCTTCCACCAGCATTGCATATCTGAAAAACAAAGAGCACACTGGATTTGGAATACAATTGATGACATTTAAAATATTTAAATAGGTGACTTCAAAATAATAAACACAGGACACTCTGTCCTCAAGCTGTTATGCAAATACTGATGTTATCACTGAACTCTGCACCATGAAAAAAGCTAAGTAGCAGAGGTGCAAATACTCCTGGTTAATATCCTACACCACGCTCTTGTTCAAGTGATTTGTGAAAACCTTTAGCTGAAAAATAAAGCTCCAAACTCATGTTACAGTCTTTTCTTACCTCTTGGAACGCTTGTTACCCAGTACCTGCACAATCTGATCACTGTCAAGAACAAGGTCGACTGCCTAGTGAGCAGAAACAAAAGTTCTGATGAGAACAGAGTCACGAGGCTTGATGCTAACCTGACAAACACATGATCTTTTCATTTTTACTTTTGTAAATGCTCCAGTGGGATCAGCCAGCATTCGAACCTGTACATAAAAACAATCAAAATTTTTCTAAATCTGTTATATAAATATGAATTTTAAATTACTTTAATAATACAAGTCTTATCAACATGTAGATTTTTCTGCATTAGATGCTAAATGTAAATTTGCAGCTTATACCTTGCCGTCTGTTCCGTGCTCTTTTCCCCATGCAGCCATGACAAATGCATCATTGACAGAAATGCATGCTATCTCCTGGATCCCTTTACCTCTTAAGTCCTCAGCTTGCTGCACAAAACCTGGAAGGTGAGTCTGAAAAGCAACACATGAAATACAAAGTGAGCTGATGCAAAACTCACTGTAGAGGTTGGGACATGCAGCGTTTAGTGTTGCTTCACCTTAGAGCAGCCAGGAGTAAAAGCTCCCGGCACGGCAAAAAGAATCCCCTTTTTCCCCTTAAAGAGTTGATCCATTGCCACTTTATTCCCAGGCTCACCCTCCTGGACCTCCAGCGCAGGAAGAGATTCACCAACCTGAAGATGAATGAGATGAAGTTACTTATTTTAAAAAACTAAAGTTTTTTTTTTCCTAATGTCACAGTGAATGAAATTCTGGAAATAACTTGATGAAACTTTTTTGTTTATGAAAAACTTTGAATTAATAGTAAAAAAAATAGAAGGAACCTGTACAGGTGCAAATCCCTTGTTTGCAACACTGAACTGAAACATCAAATGTTTGCAGAAACCAATAGCAAAAAACAGAATCAGAGATAAAAAAATTTCAATAACAGAATGTAAGAAGAAATGCATTTTTATAAGATAAATTAACCAGAAAGAGAACATAATAACAATTGTGTGTAAACTAGTTCTGGACAATTATTCTATAACGATATATATCGATCAATAGACGTGTGATTCAACAGAAAAAATTGATCAATAAAAAGTTTGTTTTTTCCATTATAGCCTATCGGGTAGCTTCATACTAGTCATTCCTTACACCCAACTGATCAACAACACAGACCCAAGCACACTTCATCACCAAGCCTCCCCTAACCTAATCAGACAGCAATGTGACGAGATGTTGCAGCAAGGAGAAGTGGAAGAAATTGTCCCAAAAAAGATTACAATAGTTCACCAGTGTGGCAATATTTTCATTCTTACAAGTCTGACAAAAAAACAAACAAAGGTGGTTTGCAAAATGTGCAGAGAATCAATAAAAACCAAGTCTGATAACGCAACCAACTTGTTTTATTGTTAAGTGATTACATAAAATGGCCAGGGCTGCACTTAAATATATTTTCTACATTTCTCATATAGTTTTCAATAATTATTTATATCGATCAATAATATTTTTTATCGGTGCACCTTTTTTTCCTGTATCGTCCAGCTCTAGTGTAAACTGAAATTTAGATATAGCAAAAAAAAAAAAAAAAAAAGGAGCGTTTCTGTAAAATGGCCACTAGATGGCAAAAATCACCATAAATGAAAATTTGCTTAAAATAACATGAACGCCTGTTTTACAAACTTTTCCAATAAATAATTCAAATTTCACCGTGAAGAGATGTTACCATTACGGTTTAACATTGCAATTTCTCCTTTAAACACTTGGTCCGAACACTTTCAGGGAGTAAAATTGCAACATGCGCAGCAATAATTCAGAACAATGTTATAAAAGAGTGATGGCACACATCTTATCAAATGTAAAGTCAACTCAGTGATATAGGTGAAAGAGGTGTTCTCAAATCACGACGAGCTGCTACTACGATTTAATCAAACAATAAACTAAATTCATGCAAACTGCTGTCATGGCGGCTCATTAGCATAGACTGCTACAGATACAAACATAATGAAGATAAACCGTTGCCGAATGCTCGAAGGACAAACCAACAAGCTAACGTTAGCTTATTTATTTTATTTTTTTACCTGAATCGGCATTTTGGTGACTGGAGAGAAGTGCAGCAGCCGGATACTATAGAGGACTTTAATGTTTTTTAGAAGAGAGTTTGTGATGAAGAGCATAACCTGCTGGGATGTGGAGCTAAGCTAGTCCCTGGTGTTTAGCAACGTCTGACTCACTCGCTATCTCTTGAGACACAGCAGCGACGTCCTACTTTGAGCTAGAACGGAAGGACTTAAATTTATCCTGCAGACTGATGGCTAAGTCTTTATTTACTGTGCCATCTGCTAAACAGGAAACTCAAGGTCTGGCTGGACTGGTTTAGCGAATGGGGGCATAAAACGGAACAATTGTTGATTTAAGACAACATACACTTGCAAGGGCTTTTGCAGACTTCTGCAAGAAACGCAAGGGAAACTACGGAAGCCCTTTACCAACACGGTCACGTGGTATCTGATAAGCAAAGTCAATTATTATGATTTTAAGTCATGTGTATCACTAAACTCACTCTTACGCGATAAAATGTATGTGTTTGATTTTTTTTTTTATTTTTTTTTTATTATCAGTCGTGCACATATTTGGGTTTGGTACAGCTCCGATAAGTAAATACCTATTTTGACCAACTCTGATTAATGTTAAAGGACTATATCAAAGCAATTCTATTGTAAATGGAATATTTGTATGGTTGTAAACAATCATAGTTTTGAGTTTGAAAATCTCAGTTATAATTTTTTATCTCAAAAATCGGGTTTACAACTACACCACAGGCTTTGTATCTAATCAATTTTTAATATTTCTAAATTAATATTTATTATTCATTAATTTTTATTAAAAATGATGACTATTGTAATAAATATAACATAGAACTGTATGGTCAGGAAAGTAATAAATTTATATGAACTAAATGTGAATGTTTTACAACTTATTTTCAAATTCATAATTGTTACTTTTTATGCAATAATTATGACTATTTTCAGAATAACCTCCTCATTGATTTTGAAAGTAATCATTTTGTCTAATAATTATGACAGACATAATGCATCTTGTAATAATTATTAGTGCATCTCATAATAGTGTTGAATCACAAATGTGATTCTGATGCTTATAGTAATGACTCAGTGATTTTATTTAAAATCATAAATTAAAAAAAATTGACCATGTCTTTTTGAAGTGGCAGAAAGAGGGCTTCACAGAAACTTGCGGGATAGATAAAATAAGCTCCAAGTCAAATGATCTGTTGTAAGTTTACACAAGTCATTTTTTCCCACTGTTGAGTTAAAACTTGTTTGATCTGAGAAAATAGTTATTTTCTGTTTTAGTCAGTTTCTTTTACAGACATGGTACTGGACCATTATTCACACAAGTGTGATCTCTAATTGGACTACACCCGTTATGTTTCCCTCAGAAATGTCTTTCTTTTTTACTTCCAACTTTTCAGATTTCAGTTTCTTTTATAAAATAGCAGTTACATTTTAGTAACTATGGAACTTTTTAGCTTCTTGACACAAACTAGACATTTTACACAGTTGTTTCAAATTCAAAGCAACGTCCAGAGGTGATATGTGGTCATTAACGTATCCAAATGTAAAAATACAACACAAACACATAAACGTCCACATATTGATGAGCCCACTGACATGTGGCGGTGTGTCCATTTATTACACAGCACAAAGCACCTACAGGATCCACTCCCTGTTCCACCAGACAGCGGAAGATTTCACTTTTTTCACAGTGAATTTAATGTGAACAAGTTTAGACAAGGACATCAAATGGCTTCATCTAAATGAAAAAAAAAAGCCTACACAGAAATTTACAGCCAGGATCACACACAAAATAAAGCAACGTCAAAAAAAGTCAGTTCGGTAAAAAATAGAATTTAATCATTTAAATACTCTTTCAAAATACAAACATTGATTCAAATTTCTAAATAAGATAACATTAAGTATTCGTAATTATAACGGGAAATGTTAAATGTACACTGTGGCTATACAAAGAGATGCGTGAGGTTTGGTTTTTTTGTTGTATTGCTCATTTATATTAATGTGCACATTAATAACAGACCCTACAAATGAGCGAATGGTGACAATGTAAGTGAATAATCCACCGCCTAACCATCATACCAAACGACATCGTTGTGACTGATTTGCTTTGTCTTCTTTGCCATCGAGAAGAAACGTGTAGAGCTCTAATCAGACCTATAATTATGCTTGTGTCAGAGAATAACTTAACTCATGGAAAATAAAAACCCCAAGAAGCAGATTTGAGTCACAATCTGTTGAACAGTACCTTCTCTGTAGTGCTGTCATTTACGCCGTACCTGTGTTTTGTCTTCAAGTTTCACAAATAAAAAAAAAAACAAATATTCAGGCTGACCTCGAATGAAACGCTGTAGGTTTTTTTCTCCGTGTGGCGGATGCTGCCTCCTGAGGTATTCTCACGGCACCACCAGAGCCAATTAGACCAATCCTTAAACTAACAAGTACCCCACACAAAACAAACCCCTGGTAGAAACAAACAGGTCTGGATGAAAAAGCTTAATTCAAACACACAACAGAGTCACAATGAAAAGAAGGAAGTTTCAAGTCTTCACAAACATCAGCACACTGTAAGCTGCACAATTACTGTGAGGGGGGGATTGGTTTTACATTTGCTGGCTTTGTTATCTTCCGCTAAAAACTGCGTTTCCTTTTGTTTATACGGAACTGTACAAGGCTAAAAGAGTCATGGCCATCTGACCACTAAATATTTTTATAGATCTGAGTTTTTACAACAGATGTGGACACTGCGTCTTAAGCTTACTGTAATGATCACTTATACTGTGACTATACAAACAAGAAAGGGTAGGACGTTCGAGATGGTACCAGACAAGGTTTCAACATCCAAACGAACAGATGTTGCATAAGTTGCATCTCTTGTAGCCCCGAGCCCATTCCAGGACACAAGTTCAAGTTCAGTAGGTGGAGGAGGGATCTCAAACGGAAACATCCTTTATACAACGTTCGGCACCGCTGCAGCAAAGTCTCGCCGCGTATCGGCCGTTTAGGTTCGTGTCACTCAGTTTAGCCCACACTTGAAACAAGATCGACCTTTTTTTTAAACACACAGCAGCAGAGGTCAAAGTGTGGTTTTAGTGGAGGAGGGGAATATAAAAAAGCAGATGAGGCTTAGAACCATTTTCTGTAGAGTGTTGTTGCCACAAAAAGCTTTAATATCAAAGAGTTCTTCCCTGACCTCGTTAGTTTTGACTGCGCCGACCACAAATACGCACGCTGGAAGCTAGTGTGTGTGGCCTTAGGATTTACATACAACACTTATGGAGAGCGTTTTTTTTATGGACACACTGTCTCCAGGACTACAAACCTATCGCACATGCTTTTATAAAGCATCCTGCACGTAAAATCAGTGGTTCCCATGCCAACCAGTTCCACCAAGGATACAAGATCCCAGAACTCAACAAAGATTGGCACTTGGGGTCCAGAGTGGAGAACAATTAATACACACATAGTAAGGGACGTCTTCTAGAATTTGCATGTGACGGACAATAACTGAGTCATTATATTGCTTTTAACATATTGCGAGTGATTTCTATGGATCGCCTACAACGGCTCACTAAACTACACTAAATACAAGAACTACATGTGCGATTCAGTTTCACCCCTAACTCAGATATGTTAATATGGCTTTCATGTACCAATAAAGTTTCTAAAGCTACATGATTGCAGTCTGTTTTTGGGTACCTAAACAATGTCCTTAAGTGGTTACGTAACTGTAGGTTGATGTTGTGATGAGTATACCATGAAGCTGGTACATCTTAATGTTAAAAGTCAACTTCCATGTACAAATGTGAAGAAATAAGCTTGTTCTTTTCCTTATTCTCTCTCTTTATCCTGCCTAAAACTGAAAAAAAATCGTTATTTCCTCATTATTATTTCTGTAATAAAATCTTTCCTTTTTTATAAACCACTCATCCACTCTTGAAAACCCAATCTTCGTAGGCTCCCTCCTTGGTTCTTTTGCTTTACGGAGAGTCCATCATGGCCTCCAGCATCTCCAGAAATAGTTTGTGCATGGGTACACCGCCACGGGTCTTGATGCTGTAGAAGGTGGTAAGGGCTCGGCCGGCAGTCTGTCGGAGGAGAGGCAATGTTAAAAGAAGGCGTCCCGGACGTTGGGGGTCGTCCGGTCGCCGCTGACATTCCAGCTCCAGCAAGGCCTGGTGGAGGAGGTCCCGCAGCCTCTGCACAGCTTCCATGTCCTCGATGTAAACAGAGTCTGACAAAGCAGCAGAAAAACACGATTAGATGGAAATCATCCTCTGAGATAGGAGGAAAAAAGTTCTAACTATTCTATTAAAACGTGATGATTTATGCTGGTTTTTATCAGAGTAGAGTAACGGATTCTATTCCACTACAGCAGAGGTTTATGTACCTGAGTTTGTAAGTGTGATGGCTTTTATCATGACAAATTCTTCCCGGTCCACATTTAGAGCTCGAAAACGACGTGCTAGTTGGCTAATTGCGGCGTTTAGCTCCGTCAGTCCAGCGGCGCGAGACATCTCCTCATCCAGGACAAAATCCTCAGCAAACACAACCTCATCCTCACAGCCAAGAGAGCGGTACGCTACACCCAGCACTAGCACCTCCAGCCACACCGACTGCAGCACCGACATCTGATCTGCTAGAGACAGCGACAGGAAGCCTGCAGGAGACAGACAAGAGGATGAAGCAGGTTCACGTTTCACACAACTTCTACCTGCAGAGGGTCTGCTGATGATTACCGGCTTCAACTAATTACCGTATTTTTCGGACTATAAATCACACTTTTTTTCAAAGTCTGGCTGGTCCTGCGACTTATATACCAAAGTGACTTACATACCAAATTATGTATACCACGCTGCTGTGGGCCGGCTCCGGTCCAGGTTTCAGCACCTCTGCCCCGCTGGGAGGGTTTCAAACACCGCCATCACCTGCTGCAGCCTGTGGCGGGGTGCTGCGGGCACTCTCCCCACCCGCTGGGAGGGTTTCAAACACCACCATCCTCTGCTGGAGACCGTGGTGCGCTGCTGCGCCATGATTGTTTATTCTGTTATTGTTACCGGTACTTGTCTTGCAATGTGAAATGCTTGGTCTCAGATTTTGTAAGAAAAATAATAAAATTTCCCCCAAAATGTGACTTATAGCCCTGTGCCACTTGTATATGTGTTTTTTCTTCTTCATTATACATTTTATGGCTGGTGCGGCTTACATTCCGGAAAATACGGTATGCATTTTTTGTTTTAAATCATACAAAAACTGTTAAATGATGCTACTTATTTACATGTATATATTAATATTAGTCATCCATACAGTTTGCAATCTATGTCCACAAGAGGCTGAAGAGTGCGTGATTCTCTGACCGATCAGCACAGAGGAAGACTGAGTGCCGGAAGGATGGGATATTTGCATTATTTGGTTCCTTTAAAATCAGGTGCAGAACATATACAAAGCAGAGAAAATTTGCAAACAAGCTGGGATGTTTTGATTGTGTCAGTAAACATCAAAATGTTCCAGTGATCCATTTGAATTGTTAGCTTGGCAAGCCATCCTATATATGTAAATATATACTCTGGCCACGACCAAGAGACAGAGCTCAGCCGAGGGGCGGAGTCTACGGTTGTCTTTCAAACTGTCTCTGCACACAATCATACAGCGCTAGGACCAACCAGAGGAGCAAACAACATCAGGCATTCATCGCTATTTTTGCACATTTCCATGAAATTGAGATTAGGAACTTTGAGAACACGAGTCTGGAGAGGTTTCAGGATTAGAATATCGTGGGTCCAAAGTTCATTGATTCCTATTAGAGACATTTGGCTGGCTAAGTCTCTCCTAATGCAAACAAACCTACCAGGAATGTGTTTGGCCCAGCCGATGATCACAACCAGCTCACGGTCGGCGAGGTCACAAAGGGTGGTGAGCGTACGCTGGGCCGTGTCAGGCTGCAGAGGGTCCGGCATGGCAAACAACTTTTCTGGCTCCGCCACTAGAAGATGGGACACGATGATGTTGACGGAACCTGCATTTAGAAAAAAAAAACTATTGAAATAACATTTCCTAAAAATTAACTCTTTTTCAAAGCAAATATTTCTCTGATAAAGCAGCAAATGTGAATTATTTTCATTTCCAATAAATGTTTTACACCAGTAGAGGACATGTCCTCTAAAATAACTGACGTGTTAATAACAAAGTGTTGTTGGTATATCTGGGATGATGACAAAGTGAACTGTGGATGTGTTTTTACTATTCCATTCCTCAACTTTATTGAACAGCTCTACTAAACTAAAAGGACAATACACCTTTATTGGCAGTAGGGGGCGCTGTCTTCTACACATCAATTCTGTTATTTTTAATAAAAACTGCTAGATGAAAGTTTAAGATTGTTGGTATTTTACACAAAATAGGCATGGTATAAATACAAGCGTAATTCTATTCCCATGTACAAACAGAACAGGATGGAGGTTGGTGTGTTGCTTGTGGCACAAAAAAGACTAAATATAAAACTAGTAAAATTCACCTTTTTCATTCTCTTTAATCAGCTGTAGAGGAGCACTCTGGTACGTTGCATTCTCCACTTCAGGGCGCCTTTTGTACTTCTGTCTTCCTCCTCTGACTCTGTCAAGACGAACTCCTGCATCAGAAAAGACCAATCAGCTGGTAAATCAGCATATGATATAAATATGTATAAATAAATATTTTTTATTGTAGGGTGGTAGATATTAGGACTTGCCTTCTTTCAACATGCCGACTTTGAGGCACTTGGTGAAGCGGCATGCTTGGCAGGCCTTTCTACGCCTTTTGGTGATCTCACACTCGTTTGATGCTGGGCAGCTGTATTCAATGTTACCTTGGCGACAGAACATGTATTGTTAGTTTACAGTAAATAACATGACTGGGGAATGGAAATAAACAAAAGCATTTGGCATGAAGAAAAACCACCCCTGACTTTATGAAATGGCTGATCTTATTATGCCATCAAAAGCTACCCCTCAGTTTTCCACCGTTACCCATCCTCACACACAGTTTACACACAATGTCTGTTCACTTCCTGTTGTAATGGGATGTTGTGATCGTTTGCATTTCTGATTAATCATGTGCTGATGAAACTCACTAAGACGTTCTACCAAATCCCAAAGGTTTAACGAAGGTTCTGCCACAAACGTTGTGCTTACAGTTAAATGTGTCCTTTAATCGCAGCGGACCTCTTCTCATCAGCTCATCACGCATTTAAAGTGTAAAAATACACACGCTTGTTAGAGAATTACAGATTTTATGAACATTTTTGCAATTTAAGAACAAGCTCCTTGACTTGTATTGGCTGACCCATGGTGCCATGGCGATGACTGCTGCTAACCGTCATCCAAAATGATGACATAAACAATGTACTTTGTGACACCACAATATATTTTATCATATCACAAAGCCCACTTTTATTTTATCTCCTATAGATTCACTTTTAGGTCGTACCAACCCTCATAGCATCATAGTAAACATCCAGAACTGTAATGTTAATAAAGGGCACAGAGGCAACTGTCCTTTTACCAAATGTTATGCCAAATAAAACAACCACAACACACCTTGAATGGTTCTCTTAAAGAATGCTTTGCAGGCTTCACAAGACGCCACGCCGTAATGATAGCCTGAAGCCACGTCTCCACACACCAGACACAGCCTCTTGGGCAGCGTGCTCAGGGCGTATTTGCAACGGCCCGCTCCATTACCAGTGGAGCCCTCCTCAGCCCCATCGCCGCCCTCCTCTTTAAAATGACACCGCAGAGCCGGAGTGTAGAGTGGCGGTGAGTAACGCTTGGTGTCTCCTCTGGTTCCTCCACCTCCACTCTGAGAGGAGTCTGAAGAGGCCCCGCCAGGACTGGTCCGACCTCCCCCACCTCCCTCTGGACTGCTCGGTTCTGCCTTTATGTAGACATCTGGCCGACGATCCCGGGAAGACATGATGTCTGATGGGCAAAAACACACAGAAAGATCAAAGTAAGCACTGTAATAGAGCATTTAGATCTTGGCAGTGTCCAGATGTTTTAAGACCAGTGACGTCACAGCGCCGCGACGAAGACTGTCCAAATTCAAAGAGTGCTCAGAATGCGGTTTTGAAATTCGTTCATCTTTTTCCCGAATTTGAGAACAGGTGTGGTCTCCTCACCTCTATAAATCCTGAGATGCACTGCGGGGCAGGTGTCGTGAGAAATTCTGTTCCCCCATGTTGGGAGGTCGCTATCTTCACACCATTTGTGATCGACTTTTAAAAATTATGTAATGTAATAATGTCCTGCTTGTGATGTTTTTTATTTATACTTCCTCATAAAAACAATTAAAAAGTACAGTAAAATCATTGTTGCTCACTCTTTTCCTGCAAGTTTATTCATCATTTTTGAAAGTTATGTAAAAGGATGCAATCTCACTGAGTTTTACCATCTTTTATTTGAGGTTGTTTAGTCCTCTCATAATAGCCGTTAAGTCATGTGAATTTGGAAATAGTTGTTCTTTATTTGCCTAAGTTATTATGGGAAACATAATATTTTAGGGGAACAGGATTTCTCAGAACACCGGCGGTACATCTGCTGTAGCTCTTCAAACAGTAACAAAACAAGGAAAGGTTTAAAACATGTGCGAGCTCCATTTCTGCAGCTTCTTCTTAGTGCGGTAGCAGTTGCTAGGTGACAGAGGAGGACATCCGCCGTAGCAGGGACGAGACTATTATTTAAGGCTAGACTGTCCAAATTCACAGCTGTTAACATCCGGTCTAAATGGTCACGGAAGAAGACGTTCTCCTGAGACCAACGAGGACAGGTACTCATTAGCATGCAACACCTGAACTTGGACACAGCCCATGTATGTTTCTGCTCTCTACCAGTTACACTTACAAAGAAATGGTGAATTATCTTGGGACCATCTAGCAAATAATGTAACCTCGAAAAAGGGGCGCAGTTTCAAAATACTTCACTAAGCAAGTGATCCCATACATTATTAAGAATCTAGTGCTATCTCATTTAGATTACCGTGGAACTGTTTGGTCAAATACTTCATTTAAAAATGTTAAGAAAATAAAATTGGTGCAGACCAAAACTGCACACGTGGTTCTAAAATGTGCTTTAAGGACAAATGTCAGTGAGATACCAAAACAAAGAAAAAATTACAAGCTGAACTTTTCAGATAAAGCCTCATTTTAGTTAACCATTCTCCTAAACAGATAATCCTAGCGATTTTGGTGTAAACGTTCATGTCAGAGCAGCATCTTCTAGTGTAAGTAGGGCATCAAAAGTTAATCATTTCTGCCAACCTGTCCATAAAGCTTTCAAAACTCTCGATTGATCAGAAAGACAAAAAAAGGATGATTGGTTGTGCTGCCTCTTTGTGGGCTACAAAACCTTGAGCATAAGTCTTTATAAGTCAGTCATTAATGTATGCACTGATGCAGGCGAGATGTGCTGATTTGATCCGAAGAAATCAGGTGGTAAAAAAAAAACAATATAAATTCAAGCGCATGATCTTAAATGCCGTCTTAATCCAATAAAAAACTCACAGCCTGGCTTTTCCTAAAGGACTTAAAGAAACAAGATCAGTCGCCGTTCTTTGCTAGAGTTCCATTCTGTGGACGGCACTTGGATTTTGCTTAGTCAGCAGCATGTCCCAAAAAAGCCCACTTATTCAACAAACTGTTTTTTAGCACTGTTTTGTCCTCAGTGACACATTTCAGGCCAACTATCCAGGGCTGTTTAGCTTTCAAATAAAACTATACAGTTGTGGTTCGTCCCCTCTGTGTCGAGCCTTTGTCGTATTTCTCGTCATTAAAACAGCCAAGGTGACTGGATGAAGGTCACCGTGCTCACAGACGGCAGCCACTCCCCCTTATCCAGAGATATGACTTATGTTCAAGTGAGGCAATAAAGGTGCTGCAGCAAACTACCATTATGGCTGAGGCGCTTCTCAGCATAACAACACAGTTGGACTGGTAAATAGAGGTCAAACTGGTCATCTGTGGTAGTTTGCATAAAAGGTCAACAATCAGTGGTTGAAACCAACATTGTACCCTTATTTTATTAACAAATTCAGTTAAAATAGTGGCTAAATCTATTAAAATGGAAACCAAAACCAAACGTTTCCTTAAGAAAATTCCTTGTTTTAAGTTCTAATCTAGTCAGCTTGTTTTAAGAGTCTTGTATCATTTTGATTTGTGTTTTAAAATGTGACACAGCTTCCTGTAACTTAGTTCTGAAGTCACATGCAATCATCCTTAATCACACTTTACATTCGTTACAAACAAAGCAATTACTCTGAAAGCAGTCAGATCCCCCGATACATAATGCACTTGAATTAAAACGCGCATCTGCTCCTCTGTTGTGACAAAGTAAACAGAAAAGCAGGCAAATGTTTGTGAGAACAGCGCGATCATAACGTTGTCGAGATGAATAATTAAGTGTATAATTTCTTTAATGTCAACTAGAGAATGTCTAAAATATCTAACAAAAACAGGATTTTCAGAATAGTTTTGGCTTGGCAGATGACCAGAGAGATGAGCTGAGTCTGTGGGCCGTCTGCCTCCAGGGTTCAGAATAACAGCCTCACTTGAACAACTGTACACTTCTTCCCACTTCATAGATGTGAGCATGAGGAAGACAGGACGAGATTTGTGCAGCCTAAAAACTCACAGTCCAGTTAAGGCCTCGAACAAGACTTTGGAGCTCAGCGTGTACTTACACTGACAAACCACTTCCAATAATAGCTTCTTTTTCATTATTGCTCTTCATCTTTTCTGGTAATCAAGTAGCTAGTAGTAGTGTTCAGATGTCTTATTTATGGTATTTTAACCAACTCTGGCCTCCTGCACAGCTCTACCTGCTGTTCTGAACACAGCTGACCTGGGTTGCTGCTATTGTGAAATTATTGTACATGATTAACTGATTAAAGGTGTAGGACACTCGTTTTATCAATAAATTAGCAGAGATCTCAAGTAGGAAGGAATGCCTTGCAAGTCATACAAACCAAAAGATTTGGAATCTTTTTTCCTGATATTTGGACATCTCACCTCGAATTGGATGACAGCAGCGTGACTACCACTGTCTCAGTTTGCCATGTGACATGGATGTTTTATCTCCACAAATAACTCAAACCAGAGAGAATGAGGTGGAGATGCTAATGCTAATGGTTAGCTTCTGCTAGTAAGATGTTCTCTGCTGTTTCCTGGACACTAAAACAACAGTCTTCCACGTTGTGAGTCAAGAAGGGTGAGTCCATAAATGTTAAGTGACAGTGTGACGTAGATCTGTCAGGCCTGTTCACATTCTAGTGTCACTGTCTATTTTCTATCAGAAGCTAATGCAGGAGATAGTCTCCTACACCTATTTCCATGTTCAGCCTGCATGAAAAACTCAAGAGTGACCGAATATAATCAGGGTCACTCTGAACCCTCTTAAAATATGTTTTTGTTTTTCAGTGTTCCACACCTTTAAGAAATTAAGATGCACAAAAAAAAAATCAGCTGGTGGCCATTTTTTCAATAAAAATGCCTTAATCAGTAATCAGTCAATCCAGAAATCTATTTATTCATTCAGGGTTGTTTGAAAACATCATGGTCCAGGAGCAAAAAAGGAAAAAAATTTTTCAGGTCTGAACTCAGTGTTGCTAAGCTAATTTTAGCGTATGTAGAAATTTTGAAAACTTATTTCAATTCTTGCTGATACTGATTTTGGTCGAGTTCAATTTGTTTCTATAGAACAATACTGACCAGAGTATATTTTCCCTCAGTGTAAAATTAACTATAAAATTATGATTCTGAATTTAAAAAAAACACATTTGCATGGAAGAACTTTGTTACTAGTGTGAATTTGCACTTAGCAATTGTGTTTTTCCAAACTTCAGATTTTTCCAAGTCACAGATTAGTCGATCACTATCTGATGTAGGAGAGCATCGTGTTTCCAAGTGCAAGTTTTTATTTCCAGAATCAGAATTTTCAAGCAAATGCATGTTTTACTGATAACGACAGCCCTTTGAGATGAATTGCAATCACCCAAAAATGCTATTAACCCTGGTTTCACAGTGGAAGCATCAGCAGCGTGAAACATCAGCGGAAGGGTTTACTCGCACACTTCAAAGCAGTCCATTTCACACCGAGAGAGTCTTGATCGCGGTACGGCTTCCTTGCTGTGCTCTTCGCTCGACTCGCGAGATCACAAGATCCCTCCAGACTTCAATGGTCACGGTTTGTTTATGCAATCCGCCATTAAAGCAAAAAGGAATCACGCTTGATATTGCCATTTGATGTCATATATGATGTTGGTCCTCTCCACGGTTAGGATTAAAGCCATGAAAAATACACTGCTGCACCGCTGCTGGGTCACACGTAAGCTACATATATATGAAATTGCATCGCTGCAGTACTTTTATTTTGAAAATTACTGGGGATTTTACACTAAAACCACATGTGATTTCCTGTTTAGCCCTATGTTAACTGCAGAAATTAACGTGTCCAAGAAGCAGTTTGTGCCAAAAATAGAACACAAACCTATCTTTAGCAGCGCGGCGTGCCGCTTCTGGGACACGCCTGAAAATTGCTGTGTTGCGGCTAGTTTGAAACACTCCATAGACTATAATGAATTCTATCTGAAGCAGTGACGTTCTGCTGCCGTTCTGCATCGCTGATGCTTTCAGTATGAAACCAGGGAAACACATCAAAGTTATAAAAAAAATTTGAAATCGATATCAGCCTTCAAAACCAGTATCATGATTCTATTTGAATTAACGATTTTAAAACATAACATTTCTCAACAAACCAACTAAATCCAGATTAAATTGATTATAATTAAACTTTTTTTTTATAATTTATACTTCGAAAATTCAGATGAAGCATTATTTGAATGAACTGACTTGGAAATCATTCAATAAGAGTCCAGACTTGAGCTAATGCAGACCCCTCTGCGTTCACAGTAAACGGGCATCTACTGATATTCTATAACCAGATGTGTCCCATTCCACCATGCATTTATATGACATCTCCTCCAAACAAACATACCATACATATCATAAGGAGACAAAAGGCATGATGAAAATGAAGTCTGAGCTGGCAATTATTAATACCTCAAATTTTGTGCAGAACTGATAAAAAAAAGTATTACTGGGTGAAGTGTAAGTATTCATAGTTATTTAAAAGTAAGTTTGGTGTTATATTTATGGTTATAGGTGATAATTAGGGGGCAGCAGTATATGGGGACAGCTGTAGTTCAACAGGTTGAGTGGGTTGTCCAGTAATCGGAAGGTCGAAGGTTCAATCCCGGCTCCGGACAGAGAATTCTGCTGTGGTGTCCTTGGGCAAGACACTTAACCCACCTTTCCTGCTATTGGTGCTTGGAGGGACCGGTGGCACCTGTGCTCGGCAGCCTTGCCTCTGTCAGTGCGCCCCAGGGCAGCTGTGGCTACATCGTAGCTCATCACCATCAGTGCGTGGATGTGTGTGTGAATGGATGAATGATACACTGTAGTGTAAAGCGCTTTGGAGACCTTACTCTGAGAGTCGCTATACAAGTGCGGGTCATTTATCATCATTTAATTCAGACCAATAGACTTTCTGCACTTTCTTTCGAGTTTGTCCTCTGGTTATGAGAGCAGTGAGGGGGGATCACAGCAAACTCAGAATGTTTAAAGTTTAGCTTACTTAGTAAAGAGTTTGACAACAAATGGACCTAGACAATGAAACAGTGACGAGTCGCTCGGCCATGTGCACCGCTGGCCGCTTCCACATCTGCTTTGACAAACAGACGACCCAACGCTGAAAAATGTAACAAAACAAGATGAACGGGTGATAATAGCGACGTGTCAGCGGCTGATTTCACTTCTAAAAACGGGCTAACCGTCTGTTAAAGTAAATGAGGTCAGAAGTTTTATCCAGCTTACCTCTCATATAAAAATGCAAAGCGCTCTGTAACCAAAGGCAGCAGCCTTTAGCTTAGCTTCAACACTAACATTTGTGTGACAGCTGAGGGTTAGCTAACTGTAGCTAACTAAGCTAGTGTTAATCCTGACTAGCCAGCTCTCTTCTCGTCCAGACAGGTATATTTCTGTCACCTTAACCCGGACCAGTCTGCAACTTACCTCACCACCACGACAACCTCAGCACCTAAACGGAGTTAAGTCAGCCTACGGCGGGCAGTCATGGCTCGTGTCCGACAGGAAAACCTGTCTCCAGGCTGCCAGGTTTCTGCTAGCTAGTTAGCGTGCTGAAATGGTCGCGGCGGGGAGCTTTTTTCGACACAACACCGGGCTACAATCGGCTTTCTCTAACAGCTGCTGTGATATGGATTAATCTAACAGAGCTCAACACATTACAGCGGCTTTTAAACTCACTAACCAAATGAATTATTTGCATTTTATTAGCAAAATTCTGACATACTGTTAGGAAAACAATTAAAAGATGTATTTTATGTGTGTAGATAAAACTAGTAATGGAGTTTATATTCTAATTAAAACAACAAGCTACAAAAACAAAATGATTTGCCATAAGGTGACACTAAAGATGTATATTAGCCTCAAATCAAACATTTTTTATTCTACAATCTCAACATAAAAACAGACAATCCAAAGGATTGCAGGCACCCACATTTAGATAGCAAATTGCTCTTCAGTGCCTACAGTTAGGAATTATCTTGTATCTGATTTTTACCATGAGCTACATTTCATTTAAATAAAGCTGCCTCCTCTCCGCCAGCCTGCATACGGTGTCCAAAAACAAGCAGCCTTAAAGCAGTGGTATCATAAGTCTTAGATCCCTTAATTGTTCCTGTCTCCTTTCGGAATTGGCACATTCTCACACTTTATTTTACCTTTTTAGATCACAGACCAACAAGGGCTGTTGTATCTTGTAAGGCTTAAGATGAAATGATAGTCATGTGCTGCAGGTAATAACAGTGCTATCAATTGCAACAGAAGCACAAAATAATCTATACCTCATTTAATACCATGTTTTGACTCTACTTTTCAAAAAGAAACCAAAATTAAACAATGCCACTTTAAGATCCATACATAACCCAACAGCCGTGAGTAGTAGTAGTCCAGGGGTCCAAAATCCATGTTGGAGCTTATATTTCTAAAATATTTTTACAACATTAAAGGTATGGTGAGAAAAGGTTACCTGTTTTGTGAGTTGAAATGTATGTATCCTTCACTTCTGGTGTTAGTTTGGTGAAGTACTCGTACTATCTTTACTTATCAGGACACCTGCAAAGTAAGCAAATACATTTAACAATCACCACACAGCCACAATAGTGCACTAATGTGTGTATACATACATCAGACTCTTAGCTTTAATTAGCTTTCTGGTTCTCATTGCATACTATTTATAAAAAAAAGTCTTTTCTTTCCAAAAATATCATGTGTCTAGAATCTCCACACTGCTGGGCTACCCTCCCCCTTGAATGCAGCGTGACACACTCCAAAGGTCACAGTCACAGGAATGCTTGAAGGACAGACATAGAGTAAAAAGCCAACACCTTGTGCCTCTCTGGTGTATAAAGAAAACATAAGTAAGTGTGGTTAGGACTGAGTGAATCATTAAAGGGGCATGTTTAGATTTCAAATCACAAGAAGTAAAATCTTCATTTCTAAAGTTAGACAGAGAGGAAAATGTATTATTTCAAAAGTAGAGGCAGGAACAAAATCACAAGAGTTTTTAATTAAAATAATCATGGTGGGCTGTGCTTCTTGAAGTATTAAATGTCTTGAAGCTTGAAGTTAGGGGCAGTGGTGGTGTCACTGCCAATGCATCACAAGCTGCACATTAAAGTCAGTGTGAGGCTTTTAGTGCGGCGCTCAGTGGAGCGGCCCAGAGCAGCACCCCGGGGTGACCTTGCCTACTGATCTTGGACCGGTGAAAGGTTAATTGCCAAAGTGGATTATTCCTTTAGATCAGTGATCCCAGTCCTGGTCCAGAAGGAGCAGTGACTTATAAGCTACACAGTTCAGCGTGTCCACGTTGAGAATAAATCTGGATATCAAACCTCAAAGGAAATAGTTAAAGTTGTAGAAATGCACGACTTTTTTCTTTGGAGTGAGGGGCAATGTTGATGGGGGCAATCCTTTCAGCTATATCCCTGTTTGCATTCATAATCTGACTTTTCCTCGTTTTTATGAGGAAAGTGTTAATGACTGGAACATTAACACTTAACAGCAGATCTGTGATTACCAAAGAGACAACATGGGAGGAGTTTGAGCTGGACAGGAAGCGTGTGCTGCAGAAATATTACACAATATATGAAACTATTCAGCTGGATGTGCCGCTTAGCCCCAGTAACACGGTCAGGCGAAGTCACTGCACTGTCAAGCGTACCGTGTATGCACAATGATGAGACCACCAAAATGCCCCTAAATATGATTAACAGAAGCCTAAACCTGCTGTGTGAGCAACCTTTGAAGTGTCTGCTAGAAAGCAATACTTACTGGGAGATGTAAAACCATCGGTTTGTTTTTTTCTGCCTTAAGTCAGTCAAGTCTGCGGATGAAAGTCCACAGTCGGTTGACCCGGTTTAATGACGCCGCCTGAGCCTCGCAGGGTGTTTAACATCACATTTTAACCGACTGACAGTAGGCTACAGCAAGACGATGACAATAACAGACGACACTGTGCTCACCGGTTGTTCAGTCCCGTTCACTGTCGTTATACATTCCCGTTTAGGCTTGTACAACCGGGCTACACTTTAACGGTAGCGCGTGAAGACACGAAGAAGAAAAATAATACTTCCGGGAATCACCTTTCAAAATTAAAGAGCGAGCATTGTCTTTTATCTCTCTGGGTTTGTCGAGGTTGAAAAATACTAACGATTCTAACATTAAGTTGCTATTCTCTAAAGTTGAAATATTTCACAATATTCTTAGAGATTGAAAAGTATTTACATATTTAAAGTATCCAACAAAATTATTTTATTTTTAATATTTGCTTCACAACTTCCGCTGTTGTCCTAGTTTGTTTTGCTAACCTGACTAATTTAAATGACGTACCTAAATCTCGTGCCTTTCCCCTCCCTGCGCTTAAACTTGCGTCGCTGTTCCTCCGTTACGTCCGTCTACACCTCCACCACCGTCATCAGAGAAAGAAGCCTGCACCTAACTCTCAAGACAAAACACAATAAATCAATTCCCATAGTGTCCATTTAGATTCACAGCTTTAAAAATGGCTTAAAAATGCTGTAGAAGCAAAAATGCTCAAATAAGTTTATGCAGACATAATAAAGACTGTTTACACTATACAAGCAGGTGATTCTGTTTAATTGTAATTGTTCTTACTCGCTTGTTTAACTTCAAAATATGTATATTTTGAGTATTTTCTTCACAGTTAAGTAACTTATAATAGTACATAAGTCTTTCTGTAGCATGGAAAATGTTGTCATATTGGTCTCATGACACTGATTCAGTCCACACTGAAGAAGACAGTTAAGGATTCATTGTTTATTTTATTATTAGTGGTGGTGTTTATACATCAGCCGCTCAAAAAATGTGAGTTTCGGTCAAAAACAAGGTTAATTGTTCGTGTTTTTCTTCTTAAGATAACAATGATTTTTCTGTCCAAGTTTTAGCCGCAGTGACTAGAAATAGCCCCCCCCCCCCCCCCCCGCGCGTTCCAAATGCCTTCTAACAGCTGGCAACTGATAAAAAAGTTTTCAAGCTGATGTGATGAGTGTTATTTTATTTGCTTTTAATTATTGTCTTAAGAAATACAATTAAAAACAACGCGTGGTCTCTTGAGGAAGTTTATAGGCTGTTAATCGGAAATCTCAATATTATCAGGCTAAATATAGCCTGGTATTAACCGCCTCGCGGCTTGTCTTCACGTGCTCGAGGCTCGATAGACCTGGTTTTCGTATAGGGCGCGCGCGAGAGAGAGCGAGAGAGGAAAAACTGACGGCACTGTCACCGCGACCTTGAATCAAGGTCATTTCCTCTCTGCTGCAGACTCTGCGGGGCTGCATCCCAGCCCTCTGCTGTATGCGGACTCTGCGTTATTCTAGGAGAACCGGAAAATCAGACGTGTTGTAAAACTGTTTAACCATTTACTGCTTCACGTGTTAAACTGTGAGGTGCAATCAAGCGTTCGGTGCTGGATGTAAGACATACATACCAGCTGGGGTCCATGCGGTGTTCCTAATGGCAGGTCGTGACCTCAGACAGGTGTAGGCTGATATAGTCTTTATAAATACATAGAACCTTGTGCTTGAAGTGCAAGAAGCACTGAGTCATGGATTACACAACTGATAGAAAACAGTCGTCATTGTCTCTTCAGGATCATTATGCATGGTGAAGTATTGGAGAATGTATATCAGCTTCATTAATGAACGTGAGCACAATAAAGGGATGTAAAATATAAAAATACTTACAACCTAAATGAGGCACTGTCAGCTTTATTTAGTACCCATAATGCTAACTTGTTTATAGACCAGACTTCTAGGTTCAAGTCAGCTTCTAGATTTCCTTCAGAATAACACGTCCTGGGATAATGCAGAAAAGAAGCTCAGTAGCCAGCTTCTGTTTTAGGGTATTTGGATTTTCCCTTTGAATCCAGGTCAGGAGTGTGCCTCAGCTCTACAAAACTCTGCCCACCATTCCTCCTCTAGTGGCAGCATACGGAGTCTGCTGTGGCAGAGCGGGATGACGTTATAGCAGATGAGTGTGTGTCCTCCAGGAAAAGGTCACCCACTGCCTTTGCACATCGTTGCTTCCTCTCAACTTCCTGATTGCAATGCCAGGATGCTGCCTTTTCTTTGGGCATATCCTGCAGGAAAGTGTCAGATTTCCAAAGGCTGGACCATAAAAGCACTGGGTGTTTCTGCTCCTTTCAAATGATTGCTGTCTTTCCAAGCAGATCAAAAACAGATGAGCCAGATTCCAAAATGCGTCATTAGAAATAATTTGCATACATAAACAATCAAATAGAAAATTCAGTCACAGATTGTATGTATGTTTTGAGTTGAATCATGTATCTGAATCTTGAAGACTGCATTTCTGCCCTCTGCTGGTTGTGTTCAATAAGAAAACACAGGATAGAGCAGATGTTTCATGAACTTATGGCTCCTTTGACAAAAGAAGAAAGCAAATCAGACACCATGAGAGACGAGGCCACATTCTCATGTAGGATGAATGTTTTTTTCTCTCTGTCAGTTTCAGACTGGGACAAGCTAGAGTTTCCAGGAGAGCAAACCTTTCACCAGACTGTTCCATTAACTTGAATGTGGTGGCAGCCGCAGCATTACTTGATTCATCCTCATCACTTATTTTTTGTTCTGCATTATATTCAGTGTCATCTTTATGTTCTGATACTTCCTCCTCAAATCCATCGTCATTATCAGTTTCCTGACTCATAGTGAAAGTAAAAAACAGTCAAACGTATTTCGACCGCTTGAATCCAAGATCTCATCCTCTTGGTCACTACGCAAAGCTCGTGGCCATAGGTAAGGGCTGGAATGTAGATTCACTGCTAAATCGAGAGCCTTACCTTCTGGCTCAGCTCTCTTCTTTCCTCCTTTGTGAACAAGACCCCAAGATATTTAAACAAGTGCAAGAATGACACGGAGAGTGATTTGTTGCCAAACAAAAAAGAATCCTTTATTTTGAAGGAGAATTGCAGCAAATTCCAAAAAGGCTCAGAAAAAAACAAAGGGAGCCAACATATGATAGAAACTCACAGGAACCAAAATCAAGAAGATCAGGAGCACAGGAGGCAACGGCAAACGCTGACAAACGAACACGACAGGTACTTCCTACTCACCATTTCAGATTACATTTTGAAATGCCATGTAAGTTGGGCGTTCTGAATTTCCTAGATTGTTTTCATTTTTTTAACCAAAATTTGAAAACAAAACCTATTCTTTAGACATATTAAAGCATATTCTTTAGTTGTCTTTTAATAAATGTTACTTTTATCAGTTTGTGTTTTTTTCATTGACCTTTAATAAAAAAACGTAACCAGGTTTTACCCATTTTTGAAATACAAAAAAATAAAAATAAAAGGCAGGTGATTCCATTAAAAAACTCTTTATTACTTATGCATAAAGTACAATTAGGGAATCTGGCAATCAAAATGCAAACATCGCTGTCATACACTGTAATTTATTGAATTACAAAACTGTTACAAAACCTACTGAGAGCATTTCAGTACCCGTTTAACTGTTGGCAGCATTCAAGAACTGTCAGATTTAGTAAATGGTGGACAATTATGACACAGTGATCCTGTCATACAGTTTTAAACCAGGAGAGGGCAGTGGCTCCTCACAAGGCAATGGGAGCACTGGCATCAAAAATCATTTCATCATTTTGGACTGAGGCATTCGCACATGCTGAGGGAAATTAAACAGCAAACCACACAAAGGCTATAAGGCTTCAGCTTCGTTGATTACATCTTAACTTAGCACGTACACAGAGATAAGGCTGCTAATGTCAACAGTTGCTGTCTCTCACTGATAGTCCCTAAAAGTGTCATTCTTGAAGCTTGGGTGGAAGATCTAGAACAGGTTTAGCATTTCCATTAGGATGCTGTTTGTTGATGTTGGAGCCATCAGTTTTCAAGCTCCTCCGACGAACATGACGTCTGTGGCGTCTCCTCTTTCCCTGGCGAGACATGGGCTGTTTCGGATCAACCAGAGGATCCAAATGTAGTTTACCACTCTGAGCATCTGAGGACTCATCGATGAAGGCAAGGTTTTCCCCGAAGTAGTCCAGAGGCTGTGACAGGTGGGTAAGTGGAGGAATCTCCTCCTTTCTGGGCTCTCCATTTTTCTCCTCAGGAACTCGATCGGTCTGAGTGGCCTGAGAATCTTTTTCTGACTCAGATTCTGATTCAGAAGAAGAATCGGAGGAGTATGTTCCAGACTCTGATCCACTCTCCCGCTGATCCTCTGCTCCTTCGCCCTCAGGGGCCCCATTGGCTGACACACTGTGACCTTTGCTACGATGGCCGTGGCGGCGCTTTCTCCTGCGACGTCTGAAGGGGTCATCCATTTTTCCTGGGATGCGAAAGTCCACAGACATATTCTGGATGTTCTGGGTCCAGTCAGTGGCATGAGCTCGCAGCTCTTCCATCTGAAAGAGAAGGATCAAAGTTATTATCTGTGTTGTGATGCCCTCAGATACACCTGTAACGTCCAGAAATGGTCAGTTTTTAGGTACAGTTTGGCCACTCAACATCTGGTCAAAAAGGAGACACAAGACTGCAAGTGTCCCCGCTTAATCAGCCTGCCTTCTTCCCACCAGCTGGAGCTCAGAGCCTGCAGCTCTTAACACAGATAACGAAATGTCAACAATAACATTCTCTCCACAAGGTCCAATCTTTCAGGACCCTTCATGCCTCCATATAAGGAACACTCACAGCCCGGATTTCCTAAATCAGATATGAACTTCTACAACTTTTAAGCTAGATAATCATTAAATAAATGTTTTTTTATTGCTACTTATAATAATTATAATATAATTAAATGTTCCATTAATCTGTGCTCAATGATTGAAGTTTGAAATGAATGTTATGTTATGATTACAGTGATTGAAATATATATTCAGCGTGTTAATATGACAAGGTCATAATCATTTGCACTCACACAAGAAACAGTAAGGTAAAGTTAAACTCATGACACATAGAAAGTCCTTTACCCAGATCAAAGCATCCAGCATCAAAGAAGGCGTGTGTTTCTGAGATTCTTGGTAATATTCCTCAAACTTGCCAACCTCTGGTTGGCTACACAATCGTAACATGAGAACATTAAAACCAGATTACTCGGGTTTTTCCTCAGTTCTAGAGAAAGCTTCAGACCGGCCACCTGAAGCAAAACCCTCTTTAACCCATCAAAGCTTTTGACACGTTGTCAAAATGTTTTTGCACCCGCGAAGCTGATACTGCAAAAGTTCCTGCAGAACAAGCTGATATTGTTTAGACTCCTTAAGAGTCCCAGACGCGTGGTTCCATCCATCTGTTGTGACCTGGAGACAACTCTTAAGACCAGTTTAGCAGTGCCGCAGTTTCTTCTACGGACCTCGGTGCCTGGAACTCCGAGGAATTCTACATTCCAGATCTATACATCATTCATCACATTTAGTTCCATCCATCACAGTAAATGCTTAGTTAACTTGTCATGTTTCAATTGTTGGTAAAAGAAATTCTTACTTTTATAAACCTGACTGTTTTCTGAATCAAAACGAAAGTGTGTACAATCCCTTAATAAACAAAGAATCCTAGAATCTTCTGATAAACACAGTAAAGACCAAGCAGGGTTGATATTCTCTATTTAGATAGAGTATCACAGCTTATTGGTCATAAGTAGAGGTAATATATATACTGAGCTCTTAGAGCACACAATTTACCAAACCCTACACACCACAAACTACGGAAGTCCTGAAAGGCATGGGAAAAATATTTTATTTTGTGTTTTTTCCCCTTTTCTCATTTAGCACACAACAAAAACTCTACACATTTGTATTTTTTCTGAGCGTTTTTTGTGGGATTATACGTGAAAGAAAAAACTTGAAAACAACAGAATGTTTTCCCTTGCTCTTCAGAACCTAAGCAAAACAAAATGACAATGTTTTATCTCGATGAAAGCTAAACAAAAATAAAAAGAACATATGACAAATCAGAAAAACAAATTCCCTTTCTGGGCTTCTGTTGTTAATTTGATTTCACACTTTAAACTTGCAGGGGATTTTTGTCTATTATGATTATTTTAAAGCCACATTACATTTCCCTAGATGTAACTAACAGTGAAAATCGAGGCGTCCATGCATTCTACAAGGTTGGATAAAGCAAGTAATGATAGAAAAACCCTAGAATTGGCTTTGGGACCAAAGTTACTTTTTGGAGAAAAAAACAGTAATGATACAAACAAATATGGTTAAAGGGAACATATTATGATTTCTTTTAAGGTATAATCATTCTCTGGTCTATTCCAAACATGTTATGGAGTTTTTTTTATACAAAATCTCTCATATAAAAGCCGTTTTAGCAATCTTGACAGTTTCATTACCTTCCAGAATAAGCCATTTCAGGTCTCTGTCACTTTAAGAAAACAAGCTGAAGCTGGCCACGCCCACCCGTCTCCCATTTAGGCTGCTGTAAGCTCAGAAGTTCTGACATCAGAAGGGGGTTAAAGCCACTGCTTCTCTAGCAGCAGCAGCTGTCTCTCATGGAAGAGGTGTTGCGCTGGAAACGGGTTAGAAATGTATTCTGATTTCCCCATTTGTGATGTCACAAATGGAAATGCTTGTTTTTTAAATGACAGTTTTTTCCCACATTTGGAGCATATACAGAGGCAGTAGACCCACATAGCTGCACAAAAGATGCAAAAATTAGTTTTGCATAACATGTCCCCTTTAGGACAAATGATGAAACAGAAGCAGGAAGTACCTCAGCTCTGGTCTTCTTTGACAAAACCCGGAGCCAGTTTCCAATCATTGTCAAGATAGATGCGAAGTAGGCGAGACCCAGTAAGATCCAGAACCACACCAAAGGCTTGTACATGTGGACTCTCCAGAGGTAACCCAACTGGTCGTCCTTGTGAGCTTCGCCATATTCAACGTGTGATCTGTCCCCTTTGACATAAAACACATCATAAAAGTGGATCCATCCAACCATCCATCCATCCATCCATCCATCCATCCATCCATCCATCCATTCATCCATCCATCCATCCATCCATCCATCCATCCATCCATCCATCCATCCATCCATCCATCCATCCCAGACAGTAACAATAGGAGAAACAGTTTAGCAGATAACATAATCAATACTTCATCTCACTCATGAAATCATGTTGAATAATTGATGCTCTTATCTGTACTAAGTGAACTTAATGTAGTACAACTGACAGTAATATTCATGGATGACTAATTAAGTGCTACCTCTACACTGATCAGTACATGCATTCAACAAGAAAACAAACTTAACAGGACAATTATGCACACAGCAAATCAATTTATTTTAACTGTATCACAAAACCAAACTAACAGAAAAACATCCAGAGCCAGTTTTATTAGCTGTTACCCTGTTTCTTGGGCTTTAGGAAACAAATAGACATGAGGCTAAAACATGTCCTCTAGTGACATCTCACCAGAAGACATGTCAAGACAGTCACCGGTTCACAACATCGTGTTAAATGTTGCTTCCTTTCACTTTAGCTGGAATTTGACCCAATTTCTTAGTTATTTATTCATTGGCATCCTGCTAACAGGATTCTACTACTTAATGATTTACTGGTCATATTAAGGCTATGGCGTTTTATCATTTTCATCAAATAGCAAGACTCAGAGGTCTCATGTCCAGACAAGACCTAGGGAAACTCATTCATGTGTTCATCTCCAGCAGGCTGGACTATTGTAATGGTCTTTTGGCTGATCTTCCCAAAAAAGCTGTGAAGCAACTGCAGCTTATTCAGAATGCTGCTGCAAGAGTCTTAACAAGAACCATGAAAAACAAGCACATCACTCCTGTTCTTAAATCTCTACACTGGTTACCAGTAAACTACAGAATCCATTTCAAAGTGCTTCTACTAGTTTATAAATCACTCAGTGGCATGGGACCAGAATACATGTCTGATCTCCTTCCAGTATTTACACGCAGCAGGGCTCTAAGATCCTTAGGAAGTAGTCAGCTGGTAGGAGCTCAGGTCAGAACCAAACAGGGCAAAGCTGCTGTTAGCTGCTATGCTGCTCACAGGTGGAATCAGCTTCCTTTTGACCTCAAATGTGCCCCAACTCTAGAAACCTTTAAATCAAACCAGACTTTGAATGACTTCTTGCGCCTTCTGCATTGTAACTGCTCACCCTTTAACTTTGTCTTTTTCATTTTAATTTTTAAATCAAAATTGAATTTGTGTGTATCTTAATTGTGCTGTCACGTCGATTTTGATGTTCTTGCTATTCTTACTTATTGGAAAGCACATTGAATTGGCTCTGTGTATGCAATGTGCGGTATAAATAAAGCGGCCTTCCCATTGTTGAGATCAGCTAATCTAATCTTTGACACTGAATCTCACAGCTAGCAAGTGCATTTGTCAAAACAACCATTTGGAGAGCTTGAATTTTTTTTTTTTTTTTTTTTTTGCATGTGACTAATCAACTCTGTTGGAAGATTTAACATTTTTAAAGTTTTTTTATCAGCATACATTAATATTCTTGTCTTATTGGACACAGCTTTTGATGGTTTCTATTACAAACTTGCAGAAAATCGGTCTGTCTCTAGATTTAAATGAAAAACTAAATTTAGTCACAAATCCTTCTATTTATAACTTGGCAACTTGTGTTCCACCTGCAAGAGTTTTGCAAGAAGTTGTTTGTATGTGTGTTTGCGCACAACTAAGTGAATGATTAGCTGTTTATTTTTTTACCTGCAACATAGTCACCAAAGCCAACAGTAGTTAATGTGATGACCACAAAGTAGGCGGACTCTAGAAGAGTCCAATCCTCCACTTTTTGAAAAATCAGGGTTGGCACCGCCACAAAGAGCAAGCAACCCAGCAGGATGGACAGGACGGCTGAGATCACACGCACAATGGTGGGACTGACACGCCACTTCTGTCAACAACATTATACATCTGAGTGTGATGAGACAAATACAGACAAGCAGTAACATTTAAAATATGCACTAAGATTTAAAGGTCCAACCAGAAAGAGATTCTCGATTTTGGCGACAGTTTTCCTGAGTGCGGTACCCAGATGGTCTCCAACTCCGGCGAGCAGGATGCCGAACATTGGAATTCCCACAAGGGCATAAAAGATACAGAACAACTTCCCTCCATCCGACTTAGGGGAGATGTTTCCATATCCTGTACATGGAGTTGTGGTTAATTTAACACAGTCACAAATACAAACCAGTAATTTAATGCTTTGTTTCTTGGAGATTCTGAAAGATTTTACCGATGGTTGTGATGATTGTTCCTGAGAAAAACAAGGCACTGGCTATATCCCACTTAGTGGAAAAGGTTTGGTTTCCTCCGACATCTATATCTGCACCCAGATCATCTGCCACACCCTGAGATGGGAAAGAGAAGAATAGTTCTACATTCTATTTAAGTGATCAACACTCAGAATGGTTGGACAGTGCTATGAAAGTGTTGATCTCGTTAGTTTTGCTTTTTATTTCTTCTTTAAGGGAGAACCCAGAGAAAATAAAATGTAGTTTTAAATTCAAGTGGTGTCTTTGTTTTATCATCAGATGTAATAGGACACACACCTTCGTTAAAGTTCCACATTTCTCTCCTCACTCTACAAAATTTTAGTCAGAATGATGCAATAATTCTTCAAGTCTGGCAGTAATCAGGCCAGCTTTTTTGTTTAATCATTCAAGAACTTCATCTTTTCTTTAGGTTATTCTATGTTTGCTGACCTGAAACACTGAAATGGGATGAGAACTAAAACCAAAAACAAATATGAATACACACAAAAAAAATTAATCCAACAAAAAAAGTGTGAGGGGAATAAAAAAATACAAACCAAACAGTTAAATAGTTTTTGTAACTTCACTGAACAGATTTTAGCGGAAAGATTCATTGAATAAATTAAAGATGTGATGAAACATCCGACACGAGGCTCAGTGAAACCCGACCCAGAAGAACAACTGGTTGTGAGGACCATCGTCTGAGAGCTGCCCAGTCCACTCATAAATAAAGTCCACCCAGCTCTTATATAAGTTGTCATTAAGGTGATGTGTTTACTAAACAAGAGTTGCATGGTGCCACAGCTGGTAGCACAGTTGCCTCGCAGCAAGAAGGTCACAGCCTTTCTGCATGGAGTTACCAGGACCTCTCCATGCATATTGTTTCTCTGGCTACCTCAAACAGATCAAAAACATGTAAGGTTGACGAGGGCCTCTAATTTGTCCTCAGGTGTGAGGGAGAGTGTGTGACTGGCTATTTTGCTCATAGACCTGCCCAAGGTGTACCCTTCCTCTTGCTTGAAGACTGCTAGAAAGGCTCAGAAATGGGTGTGTGAGTCATAGCAGAGATGGTTTAAACACAAAAATGTACTCGTAAGTTCTAGCTAGGACACACACACACACACACACACACACACTCAGGTTGTTTTATGCTGAAAAGCTTTGATATCAGGGAGGGGCTGGGTGTAGAGCTGCTGCTCCTCCAGTAGCAGCTCTCTTTTGTACATAAGAGCTGCATGGTTCTATTGTATTTTCCCCAGTTGTGACATCACAAACGGGGACTTTTTTGTTTCAGGCACATAATTCCTAAAACCAAACACTGACAAAAATATGGATGGACAGATTTTTTCACATTTATAGAGAGAGACCCACATGGTGTGGAAGCACGTAGAGGACGTGCTCGTCTCACCAAATTGACGCCATCAAACCCAACAAGGACAAGAAGGAAAATGGCTGAGTGTAGCGAGCTCTGCATCCTTCTTCCAGGACAGGAGAAGGAGCATTGAATGTGGAGAAAATCACTAAAAATCTGGCCACATGGTAAGTAGCAGCTACACTTGGGGAGAAAAGATTCTGCTGTGACGTCATAAATATGATGTCTAATTTGGAGTCTATTTAATTAAGAATATTTTGTCTCGTCTCGTCTTCTTCCGCGTATCCGGGTCCGGGTCGTGGGGGCAGCATCCCAACTAGGGAGTTCCAGACCATCCTCTCTCCGGCCACCTCCACCAACTCCTCCGGTAGGACCCCAAGGTGTTCCTGGACCACTTTGGAGATGTACTTTCTCCAACGTGTCCTGGGTCAATCAGGGGGCATCCTGCCAGCAGGACATGCCTGAAACATCTCCTGGGGAGTTGTCCAGGAGGCATCCTAACAAGATGCCCAAACCATGTTAACCGACTAATCTCAATATGGAGGAGCAGCGGCTCTGCTCTGAGTATCTCCCGAATGTCCAAGCTCCTCACCCTATCTTAAAGCTGAGCTCAGCCACCCCACGGAGAAAACTCATTTTGGCCGCTTGTGTCCGCGATATTGTTCTTTCGGTCATTACCCAAAGCTCACGACCATAGGTGAGGACTGGGCGGTAGACGGACTGGTAAATCGAGAGCCTTGCTTTCCGGCACAGCTACTTCTTCACCACAATAGCCCCTTTCCGGTTGAGAACCATGATCTCAGACTTGGAGGTGCTGATCCTCATCCCAGCCGCTTCACACTCGGCTGCGAACCTCCCCAGCTGTAGGTCAGAGCCTGATGAAGCTATAGGAGGACCACATCATCCACAGAAAGCAGAGACGAGATCCTCCTGCCACCAACATTCTCATTAAGAATGTCTACAAACAAATAAATCTCAAATTATGTCAGACATAGTCAAAACACACATCATTTTTGTCATGTTTAGTGAAGCACAACATATGCTTGATTCAGGGCCAGAAAATAACTTTTATCGTCCTGTTTATTGATTGATTAATTCTTTTTTTTTGTTTGTTTTTTGTTTGTTTTGTCTGGGGGATCCACAAGCTGACAAGAGTTGGAAGCAGAATGTCAGCGCTGTACAAACATTTAAAATTGACCCCAAATATTGAATTAATGTATCTTCAGTTTTATGCAAATTAAATGTAACTTAGAGTCCTCTTTGTTTTAAATATAAACCCAAAGATCCCACAAAAACCCCACAGAGGCCATCCGTGTTCTGACTCATTTTCCATGTTGTAGTGAGGTCTTGCCTAGCCTCTTTAATGTTAAACACATAAACATTGTCTCAGTTCGTTTCCTTGACCAACATTAAATCTGCAATAACCACCAAAGTGAAACTTAAAGAAAACAACTCTCTACAAACCAGCTGTTATGTTCTTTCATGTCCTTTAGCCATTTGATGCATAATGGTCACCACAGTGGACAGGTACTCAAAATTGTTATTTATTTATTTTTGCTATTAAGCACAGCTGTTGAAGACTTTATTGCATTTGAGCCCCTCCATTTGGACTTCAGTAAGTCAAGCCAACATATTTCATGTTCAGAATGCACACTGTCCACTGAGGTGGACGTGTAATAAATCATTTGTAAATTAACAAAACATTACAAAAGATATTTGTTGAAATTTGTTTCATTCGCACCTAAAAATGAATGAAAAAAATTGTTTAAAAAATCATGGTTGAAGATTTCATAATTCATGCATCAAAGGGTTAGTCACTTTAACCTTTTTTTTTGCAAATGTCAACCACTGCATCAGTAGATCGCATAGCGAGCTAAAATAGTCATTTTACAATGTTCTCTCCAGAGCGCAGACAGGCATCTCAGGATCACAGAGCTGTTGCCAAACCACCAGCGTAACGCTCCTGCTTACGCTTGGATCGACTTTCATGCATTTACACGCATGTTAGGGCAGAACCACATAGCTGCTGGGATCACACCTGTTCTCTGGTACAAGGAGCGCACACAGGGTCACCAATAAGCAGCATCTACTACTATATAAATCTGGTGGAGGGGGTCATTTGAGGTCCCACAGAAGGAAAAAAAAATGGAAATTACAGTTAAACTGTTGAAAAGCTCCCAGGGAATCCTCAGTTAAAGGTAGATACACGTGAAGCACAATAAAAAAGGTAATAATGTCCAAATAATTGTGTAAAATTGTAGTAATTTGATGGACTTCTTGAACAAATCCTCCTGGAGCGGTGGTGTCTTGTCCCTTAGGGTCACTGTTTTAGATGTTTTAGATGTCTCCCTGCTCCCTGCTCTGACACACCTGATCTGAAACAATGAGCTCCAACAGAACTTGAGAATCTGTCAAATTAACTACTGAACCAAGTGAGTTATACAGTTTTGAAAGTCAGTGACAGCTTCACATAACTTCAGCCTCACTAACTGAAAATTCACAATCACACACCTCTTGAAGGGCGACATCGTCCTCTGCTGCCCGCAGATAAACGAAGAATGAAGTAAGCCACCAACATCACAGTGCTCTGAGGAAAGTTAGAGCTTTAGCCGAAACTTGTCAGTAAAAACAGCTAAAAACAAATCTTCTACGACGCCGTGTTGAAAAAAAGAATTAAAACGATGGAAGGATTGCAAAGAACGAACAAACAAAAGATATTCAGAAAGGTACGGTACCTATCTGGTGACATTGAGGCAATGAGTTAACAACTCATTCCCACGACTTATTAATGCGCTCCAAAGAGTAATCAATACATGGCCACGAGATTCATTAAGTATCTCGTGGCCACGAGTTATTTTTTTTTCCTCAATGTCACCAGACGGGCACTGTAGAAAGGACTTCATTTTAGGACAATTAATGATATTTATTCATGCTCTGAATGTTTTACACTAAGATTTAAGGTGAACAGCAATTAACGTAAATTTTGTCAAGATTTTTTTTTTACAAGTAGCACAAACAATGACCGGCGTGTGTTGCGGTCGATGACGCAATTCTCACTGTCCCAAATGGGCAGTTATTTGCTCACCTGCGTACTACGCATTCGAAGCCACACTGCACACTTTTTCCAAGTGCAATAAGCTGAAGACCACAGGGCACAGTTTGAGTATTGGGATTGGTCCAGACTGCAGGATTTGGAGATTATTTCCTGATATTTGGACATCTCGCCTCTGATTGGCTAAAAGCAACGTGACTCTACCACTGACTCAGTTCCCTCTACAACATTAAGGTTTTATTTCAATAAATCACAAAAGCCTGAAGGATCTTAACTTACTCCCGTGTGTCCTAAGGTCAATGGAAAAGAAAGAAACAGGCTCTTGAGGCTCTTTAGTTGCTCTCTGTCAGGTTTGAACTGACTTCTGGTCAGCAACAAAGAATCGGGACCAAACGGGGCTCTGGACTTTTTATCTTTTTTTCAGAAGATTTAAAAAAAAAAAACATGTATTCTATATTTATGTGGAAAAAAATGTGATCGGATTTTAAAAAGCTTGTTGATCTCAAATGTATAAAATAATAGATGTTGAGTTGGAAAGGGGAGCAGTGGAACAATGATTCATCCATCTTTAACCCAAGTTGGGTCATGAGGTTAACAGGTCCCAGGAAGGAATCATACCAGCAACAGAATTCAGCTCCTCCTGATGGATCCCGACACATTCCCAGACTAGAGAGGATCCCTTTAGTGAGTTCTGAACCCCATCTGCTCTATCGGAAGCCCATTTTAGCTGCTTGTGTTGTAAACCCTCGTTACTGCAGACAAAGCCTGCAGCTCTATCCAAACATCAAACTTTTTACTCATCCATCTGCCTGCCTTATCTCTCTGTCAGCTATGAAATCTTCATTCAACATTTCTTTTTTTGCTGCTTGTCCAAAAGAAACTGTCAAATGACGTGAAAGCTCATGGAGTCCAATGAGTCTCTCTGCAGGCATTTGTCACACGTGAATTAATGCAAGCATTTAAAATTAAAAGGCCTAATAAAGTTTGTATATATATATATATATATATATATATATATATATATATATATATATTTTTTTTTTACCTGAAGAAACTTCTGCAAATCCTCAAAGTCGACACAGGAGTTGTTGAACTGGAAGTCCAAAGATTTAATATTCAGCGTTTTCAGCAGGTTTGTGTGCTCGTCTTCCTCAAACGGCGTCTCCAAGGCACGAAACACCACGGCTCCAAGCACCAGGTAGAGAAGCACCCCCGTGAAGATAGCGAGAAGAGTCGAGCAGCGCATGGCTGCTCCTCCGCCCAGTCCAAACGCAGCCTGCTGCTTCTCTGGACCAACCTCGGCTCTGATGTGGCCTTGATCCCAGCTGCAGCAGCTGAAACAGAGACATCAGTAGCCACAAAAGCACAAATGTTTTCAACTGCCCGCAGCATTGAATCAACTCCGGCCACGCTGCACTGCTGATCCAAAGAAAATGTAACAACCAAACATACAAAAGCCTGTCATCGGAGCCACCCTGCACTTCAACCAGATGCCACTGAGTGGGCGTCTATAAAAGCACACAAACACATGCCATGAATACGCACACAGATGCAAACACAATGGCTGAGCTCACCTGTCAGAGCGTTTTATCGGCCCAGCTCTGAGTCTTTTCCAGTCCCTCTTTGGACCAGCTCTGAAGATCGAATCCCTGGATCCGTAAACGCCGGTGAACTGGTCCCCCTCGGACTCTAAAGGAGGAGACACTGAAGACACAGACTCATAAATGCAGCTTAGGGGCCCCAAAATTTAAAACCATTGACAGCAGAATGCTCATTTAGTTATGGAGCTGAAATAAAAGTTGACATTCTCTTCAAAAAGCTGTGATTCAAATAAAAACAGGATTCTTTCTCTCTGGATGAAAATGGTGGGTCATTACCAGAGGTGTAAACTCAAGTCACATGACTTGGACTCGAGCCAGACTTGACTCATTATTTTAATGACTTCTGACTTGACTTGATAAAATCTATAATGTCTTGCGACTTGAATCGACTTGCATCTATTGACTTGATGATGACTTGAGCAAATTTGATATTTTAGCACAAAAGTGGCCCGACATGGACAAAAATCATACATCATTCTTGGTTCTGGGTTTGATCTTGTTCTGCTAAATGCAGCAGCGCTTTTTTATAATCAGTTTCAGTTGCACTTCCTGCTTGTTTGAGCAAATAAACAAAGCTTTAAGAAGCTTTATTTCTGGAATTTATTTATTATCATTGTCATTAAATTGAAGTTTGACAGATGACTTGATTATGTCTTGAAAACTCAAAGTTAAGGACTTGGACTTGACTTGGACTTCCACATCAATGACTTTGGACTCGACTTGGACTTGGTTGTCTTTGACTTGGACTTGACTCGAGACTTGACTGGAAAGACTTGTGACTTACTTGTGACTTGCAAAGCAGTGACTTGGTCACACCTCTGGTCATCACTGACATCACAGTCATCGTTAATGCTTTTGGAGGTTCTGATCGGCATTTTGAAAGGTAACACTTCAAGTACAGGTTTAGAAAATGTTGGCTGACAACCTGAACCTGTAAGATCCTAATCCGCACTGATCCACCATGCCAAAGCCACAGAGCTGGGAGACCCAAAGATGTGTCAGACCCTCCAGTTGTCACGGAAATTTGTAAACGATCCAGCATGGAAAGATTATATCACTACTGCTGCCAGCTTGTTTTACATGTTTGGGGCTGCGAACCAAGAGAGAGGTAAAAGTTTCAGTCTTATGAAGTTGTAGAGAATGCGGCAGATTTGTTGGTCCTGATCCAAAGCCTGGGTAGTAAACTGTCAAAGGGTGACGGCAAAATAGACTTGCACTCTAATCAGTTTTACAGCTGCTTGGAATACACAAAGAAATCATCCACTTAGAGAATGAAATACATCACAGCTACGGGAAGGCAAACGTGTCACATTAACACAATATTTCACTCAAAAAAATAAAAAATAAAATAAAGAACTACATAAAACGGACACCACAATTTACAGTACAAAAACGGTTTTAGTTGACTAAACAGGATTCTTTAGAGGCTTACATGCAGTTATTCTGCTGAACACACGCCTTAAAAATCAACACATAATGGCAGACGCTTGACAAAAGCAAATAGTAATGGGCATTGCATTAACAGGGCTGCAGCAGCAGTTGTAAGGCTGCCACATATAGTGATCAGCTTTTATTGCCACTTTAACTCCCCCTTGAATCCACGAGACTGGTGGTATTGACTAGCGCAGCAGACCATCTAACCCACATGTGCTTACCTCACACTGAAGGATCATGAGATGCAGAGCAGAAGCCACCTTGTGCAGTGTCCCATGCAGCCGCATGCAGCCAGTGTGTGAGGGCGGGCGTGAGTGTGTGAGTGAGTGTGCGTGTGTGTGTGTGAGGAGGGAGGTTTGTGCTGAATGGACAAGAGGGAAAAAGATACTCAATCAAGTGAACGCCGAGTGGAGAGTGAGGGAGAGAGCGTGCAGGAGGGAGCTTTCAGATTACAGACAGCTACTCAGAAACTGACAGAATCTGCTTGAATCCTAATATTTTTGGAGGTTGTATGATTCTGGAAAGAATAGCAACAGTGAGTGAAGTCATGCTACATTTTCCCAGCTGTTGGGATTGCTGTTGGATCAATTCTTGAGTGTGATTGGTGTTAATTTGCCAACTCAGCCAGACTTTACCCAGCCCTCAGTATCCCATTTTTCTCACAAGCAAGGGGGACTTCTATCCCGTGTGTGTGTGTGTGTGTGTGTGTGTGTGTGTGTGTGTGTGTGTGTGTGTGTGTGTGTGTTTGTGTGTGTGTGTGTGTGTGTGTGTGTGTGTGTGTGTGTGTGTGTGTGTGTGTGTGTGTGTGTGTGTGTGTGTGTGTGTGTGTGTGTGTGTGTGTGCACTCACATTTTCAGCATGCTTTCTGTGGACCAAAGCTTTTACAAACTGGTTTGGAATGTTTTAATGTTTTTTGTCGATACCGGATCTCAGAACACTTACTTGGCTTTTACTCACATGGCCAGCAATAATTTAGCAGATTTGTAACACTTTGATGTAAAAAAGAAATGACAAAAAATGTGTAGCATTAGTAAGTTAATAGTAATGCAAAATGTTCACTATTTTACTTTTATTTATCTTTCTTTGGAATCATTTTTTTACTATTTAAAGTTACAATGGCAAATTTGCTAAACAAGCTATAAACATTTTATTCATGCATTTTAGCAACAACCTAACATAGTATTGCTATAAATATGAAAAAATAAATAAGATAAAGAAAGAAAGTGGTTCTCGCATTTGTTCAAAAACCCCAGCCAATAACACGTTTCAAACCAAAAGCATCTGGTTGACTATCTCACTGAACCACCGCACTTCTGCATTTACCTGGGTCCTTGTTCCGCGGATTTTGCAGCAAAACACCACTGTAAACCTGAATAAGTTCCCAGAACTCAAAAATTTTGACGCAATCAATTGTCTCAATTTTTTTGAGTTTTGAAACTGAAAATTTTAAGTTATCGTAAATTAAACTTCTTAATAATTTTACTCATACACTTTAAGTTTAATTAAATTAAAATTGCTCATCCAATCAACTCATCATATTTGGTGTGAGCGGTATGCAGTTCAATATCAGAGAAGGAGAAACAGCCAGCTGCTATCACCTAAACTTTAAAGTAACAGTGTGTAGTTTCTCTGGCGATACTACATACCTAAAAGATTGCAAGCAAGCATTACTTTTGTGTTCAGGTAAAACCTTACCAACGGATGGCCATTAGGGTCAAAAATCCCCAAGTGGTGCTCGCTGCAGAACCACAAAGGCGGAGCTGCACCAGAAGGTGGAGCTGCACCAGAGTCAGCCCCGCCCATTCCAGAATCAGCCCTGCCCATTCCATCAGAGTCAGTCCAATTCCTTCCAGTTGTCAGACTTGATAGCATTCTGGAACCAAAGAGGGTGTTATAGCTAAAAAATGCAAGATTGAGGATGGAGTTGAGAAGTTAATTGAACAGTTTTTGTAAAGGTTCCATATAATTGAAAATCTAACTTTTGGAACTTTTAATCATGTTATATTGTCATTTCCTCATAAGAAGCATGCCAAAGCAATTTTTAGCCTCATTCATGCATTTTCCTCCCATCTCAGCTTCAATTTGGTCTCCTCCCCCGAAGCGGGTCTGGTCTTGGTTCTCAAATCTGGATATTCTGTGAATTTTCTGACAAATTATTTCTGAAATGACCTCTACTGAGACACCGCCGAAAAACCATACAACCCATCTCAGAGACACACTAGGAAGCACAATTAGATGTAACGCCGCATGACTTATAACAGATATGGTGGTGTAGTGGTTATTGAGTCAGGTTTACATGCAGTTTTGCGCAGGTTCGCCTCCCATTACTGTAAGTTTTAGGTAGTGTACAACCTCTTTTCTTCATTTCTAGCTAAACTTGCCAGTACTATGTTTACAACAATTTACTGGCATACAGTTTAACATATAATGACTAATGTGTTTTTTTTTATTTATTTATTCGTTTATTTAGCCAGTGTGAGTCCATTTGTGAGCAGAGTTTCAACTAAAATGCTGTTTAGGAACGACCAAATTCAAAGAACTTTTACAGACATAAATATTTTGCTGAAAATAAACATTACAACTAAAATATAAACAAATTAAATGTTTCAGCTGGCTAAATACATTTCTGACGACCCCACCGAGAATCGAACCAGCATCAGCTGAGGGGAAAGCAAAACTTTACTCAGACGATCTCACCACTAGACTACCAAAGCCCATTCAAAAGTCTGTGATGCTGTTGTACACCATTTCTGTTAGACCGGCTGTGGGCAGATATTCGCTGAAAGAAACCTTTTCATTTCGAGATATATTCAGTCTTTGTCATGTAGCAAGTTATATTTATCTTGTTTAATTGGAGCATAGAACATAGCATTAACGACTGTAAACTAGTAACAGCCGTAATTCATGTGGGTCAGGTCAGTTTGCGATAAAGTTGAAAACAAAAACGGAAGTCAGTGGGCTAGGCTGAGTTTGCATGAATGGGCGGGGCTGACTCTGGTGCAGCTCCACCTTATGATGCAGCTCCGCCTTTGTGGTTCTGCAGCGAGCACCCTCTCAAAATCCCTGGGAGCACAACCTCCAGCAAAATAACAAGAACATCAGATTCCCTTTCATCTCTGACATTGAGCAAAGAGGTAAAAGTGTAAACAACGTTTATTAATGGTGAAAGTTTTGTAACAATTTGTTACAAAACAGTAAATGCATTTTGTCCTCACTGGCTCCCATAGAAGGAAACATGGCATCCAATATGGTGTCGCCCAGAGACTTAGACTCGCTCCATGTATTTTAGAATAGATTTTTATGGTTATGAAACTGCCAATAATTCTCACCAACTGAGCATCTTTTCATTAATTTACAACAACACTTTGATGGATATTTCCAGAGATTAATGGTAAAAACTACACATTGTCACTTTAAGACAAACTACCTGAGTCCAAAAAGTAAAACATCATTTGAAGTCGTGGACAACAAAAGACATTTGGACCTGGAAAACGGCAACTGCTGTTTAGCACTCTCTCATTTATTTGGGCAATGCGGGTTCCAAAATAGGGCTTGGGATCAAACGATTATGCGTTACATTATGGGAAGTGCACAGACATGTTGATGGACACACGAGTGTAAACAAACCGTGAAAACAAACAGTACGTCGCAGAGGAGAAGCAGATTTAGGAGGAAGGAAGTGTTAAATAACATGTTAAAATCCGAAAAGGGATGCATAATATACAGGGATACGTTAAATAAAGAAGTAGGGACCGGTACATGGACAAAATCAGCGTTATAAATGTTTTTGATCCTTATGAAAGAGCCAAGATTAACACTAAATTAAGAGCAACGTGTTCCTCCGTTGTCCGTGAGGGCACACAGTGTTGGGTAGCATTCCTAGTATGTCCGTTACCGCGGTGGGTGGGGTTTGAGCCCACTACCCCCTATAATTGTTCTGTCTCACGGAGGATTTAATTTGTGTGCATCGGTGTGAAACACGCATAGGAAAAAAAGAATGACAGAAAGAACGGCTTCCCGCCAGCCGCGACTCGGCTCCCATCGTTCACATTTATGAGCCGTTCAAAAGAATTGGTTCGTTTGCGAACGTCACAACTCAACAAGAGTGGAGCACCGACGACAACTTGTTGCCGCCACAGTTCTGCATAACAGACATTTTCGGGGCAGCAGTAGCTCAGGTGGTAGAGCGGGTTGCCTCATGATCGGAGGGTCGTGGGTTCAATTCCAACTCCCGCCAGGGGTATCCTGCTGTTGTGTCCTTGGGCAAGACACTTCACCCAACTTGCCTGTGTTAGTAGTGGTCAGAGGGGCCGACGGCGCCAAATGGCAGCCTCGCCTCTGTCAGACCTCCCCAGGGCGGCTGTGGCTTCAAGTAGCTTATCATCACTAGCAGTGTGTGAATGTGAGAGTGTGTGGGAAGTGTCTTTGAGTGTCTAGAAAAGCGCTACATAATTTCAATACATTATTATTTTCAGCTATCTTGTTTGTGGTGGGAGCGGATGTAAACTGGATGAGAAGTAAATGTTTCTTTTGCTGTTTTTTTTAGTAAAACATTCAAACTTGTCATCCTACAGAAGTGTAGCAGGAGAAGTTGTGCTGTGTGTCAACGTGCCTGCATTAGCCTTTGGTATGCGTGTAGTCTATGTGTGTGTGTTGTGTGTGCAGTTCGCGGTTGAAGGAAAGCAACGATGTATAAAAAACGTGCAGCATCTGTAACAAACGCGAATGAAAATACTCCAGAAGGTGATGCTTGGTCGCCTTACAGCAAATACTCCAGAAGGTGATGCTTGGTCGCCTTACAGCAAATACTCCAGAAGGTGATGCTTGGTCGCCTTACAGCGACAATACCGTGAGCCGACAATACTTTTTGTTAGATACTTGGTCTCTGTGGTTGTGCATCCAAGAAGGAAAACTGTGAAATGTTAGCTTGTTTTCCACCCTTATTCCCCTGGCGACCACGTGTTGCACATTTGCACCCCACTACACGGCAACGATTTACCATGGTTGCGTAATATAACCAATCAAATTAACAATAGAATAAATTCAGCCACAACAACGAGACTGAGTGTTTACAGTAATAACAAGCAACAAGTCAGGACTCGCAGGCCGCCAAAAGGGCGACCGCGTCGGTGATGATATCACGGTCACGA